GTGGTGAAACTGTGTCATTCGTAAGGCTTCCCGTCAAAAGTTGGCGTGGTATGTACTCTTAACAGAGCATACTTGAAAGTGCGTCATTGGAATGACACAGTTTACCACTGAAGAAATTATTCTGTGAATCTAGGCACGGAATATACTCTTAACAGCCCAAACTATCAAGTGCGTCAAACGAATGACACAGTTTTACTACAGTAAGGCTGCCCGTCAAAAGTTGTCGTGGTATGTACTCTTAACAGAGCGTACTTGAAAGTGCGTCATTGGAATTACACAGTTTATAATAACATTGTTCTATCTACACATGTTATCTTGCAATACATATAACGTTAGAATACTACACTGTGTATGCATGCCGAATTGCCCGACGTACCAGCTCGATCGCGGGTTGGATCGCCTGACCGCCGCACGTGGAAAGAACATGAGGCCTGAGCTGTCTGCTACGACCCGGAAGTACATGTGATAAATGCCGAAACGGTAGCAGAGAAACCCCCATGCAGTGCGAAATCTTCGCCGAAATGAGGCAAAGGGAGGCATTCTTTAGGTCAACTTTGACTGTACAAATCTTGTCTTGGAGTCATATTTGAATTCTCACGTGTAGTACATGACCTAGGACAACTCGTGAAGATTACAAAGACACATTTATATGGCTGATTGCACCGTTTTTGTGTGAACTATTGAGTTTTTCCGTGACCATGTCTTATGCCTCATATCGGCGCGTCAGACATGTGTTGCGAGGTAAAATTCATATTTTGGTCGGGATTTTGGTTTTCTAGTGTAGATATTCGCTGCCGATGATTTTAGAAGTTGCACCAAGTACGTGAGAAACTTACGTGGTTCGAGAAAGTACAGGTATCCAGAAGAAATGGCAGCATTTTGGTTGGGGAGGCGGGGGTTAAACTCCAAATGGTCATGTCGTTAAATAACAGTAAATTACTACGTGAACGTCATATAATTAGATTGGGAATGCTATGTGTTAAGCAACTTGATGTTCCATTCTCGGTTAGCGTATTTCTGGCCAATGTGAAATAACAAAAACAATTGATAGGTATTAGTAACGTTACCAGCCCCCAGAAGTTCCATGCAATCACTCACTCACGCACTATCCGGGATAATTAGATTATACTACTGTTGTCCCTGCCACAGGGGTTGGCAGCAGTCGGCTAGTAGTACTGGTCTTCACTCTGCACCTCCAGGCAGCCCTATCCAGTGGGTTAACACCTGCAAGGCCGCGCTCTCTGATGTCTCTCTTCACACACTCCATCCAGGTCTTTTTCGGCCTTCCTCAACCTCTGCTGCTATGCAGCTGCACTTCAATGATGTTACTAATACAGCCACTGACACGCTTAATGCAATATTGTGAAGATTTCTAGAGCCTATTGAATATTCACTGTTGATCTGTTCTTCTTTACAGATAATTAATTCCAGTCACCATGGTCCTGCTGTACGCGTGCGGCGCTGTTCTTCAAGGAGTCTTAGTGCCTGGTGCATGTCGACTTCAACTTGTTTGCAGGATGCTTCACTACAGAAGATGCTTCTTACCTTCTCTCTGCAGCCTACGGTGTTATTATAATAGTAATGCAGCAAAACAAAACCAAGTTCTGTGTCTTAAAAAGCCAGTTATCCTTCTTCACAGGCAAAGATTTTCTAGTCAGTCATTTTTAGGAAAAGACAAGAGTTCCTTGCTGTGGACAGTATGCTACAATGATGGCACCAAATGGTTATCAAAATGTCAAAGCTTGCTGATGCCATCGACTTGCAAGTACTCAGGAGTTACACATAAAGGAACAGACACACAGAAGGAAGATACAGACATACAGACAACTGAAGAACTGGTTTCCTCCATTCTGTCTCGCATCGAGGAGACTCAAAACGTCCCCCAGAAAACCTCAGATCTACCCGACAGTGCACGATTCTGGGTGAATCGCTTGTTAGAAATCGGCTGCACACAGAAACAAGTCTACCACTTCGTCACCACAAACTCACAGCTCCTCAACATCCCTGACGAGAAAGTAAAAGAAGTCTTCGCTCTGTTCCTGTACTTGGATATAAGCAAGAACAAAGTCATGGACCTCCTAAGCACTTATCCGGAGATCTTGAGAGAACAGCCGGCGGACTTGAAAAGGAAGGTACAGAGTCTGCAGAAACATGTGGCGAGCGTGGAGAATGTAGCAAAGGTGGTCCTAAAGTGTCCGCAGGTCCTGACTCTGCCACTGTCAAAAGTGAGAGGTGTCGTGGCAGTCCTGAAGGACAACTGCCAGTTCAAGAGTGCGCAGGTCTGTGAACCATATCTGATATTATTTCTAGTATATATTAAACTTTAAAGAAGAATTTGAATTTTTTCAATGTAAGTATATGCTAAAATATCGCATTGTTGATTACCTGGTTTTATACATGCTGCTCTTTTGATTGTTGTAAAATATGGTGTTTTTGTATACTACGAAAGTGTTTGTTGCCAAGTTTCAATCTCTTGTTAATCTGTTCTTGTATGTATGCATGTACTCTTACTATGTCAGTCAGTCTCATAAGACTATGACTTGACTGCGCAAAACCAAAAAAACAAAATAATGGTTCATTCCTAATAACAGAGTCATAAATCATCATTATGATACAAAAATGTATGCATAGGGGCCTGAATTTAAGGATTTAAAAAAAAAAATAAAGAACTATTCACTTGATTGATTTTCATAACAGTAAGTCTGATGACAATCATTCAATCGACTGCCATTGTCAGATCATAATCTGATGTACACATTTAGCCCCATGGGGATGAACATGCAAATAAAGATTCATTCAATAATAAACCAATCATCATCATCATCATCAGGTGCAGACCATCCTGACCACCACCCCCGTGGTTCTGTTGGCCTCTCCCGAGCATGCGGAGCTGCTGTTTCAGTACGCGTTCTTTGCCATGGGGGCCACCAGAGAGGACATGGTGAGGGCCTTCCTGTTCAGGCACACGTGGGAACACATCAGGAGCAGGCACATGTTTCTGGAGAGGAGGTCAGCACTTTAGCCTCCATAGCATGCCAAAAACTTGGGGTTTTGGGGGTCTTCATGGTCTTTGGGAGCTTTTTTATGCTAGTTTCTGATTGTATATAATATAGACAATGGCACGGTTGAATTACCCCCGTTTTTTTGCTAATCAGACAAGAGCCAAAGACCACCAAACCCCCAGTTCTATAAGCCTGCTACGGAGGCTAAGCACTTCAAGAACTTTATTCACCAAAACAACACATGATTGTTCGCATGTAGAGTAAGAGAAAAAGTAAATGTTTATTTCAGCATCAAGTGATGCATAGGAGGTTCCCTACTCCCCACAGCAGTGCAAACAAATTGATTCTACTCTAACAGTACATGTACCGGTAATGTAATAGAAAATGATATTTATGGCAGATAATTCAGAGTAATTCTGACTTGTTCCATAGAGGCATGTACCAACCCCCTGACAAGAAGGGGAAGACCAAAGACCCCAACCCTCCCCTCAGGGACATCCTGGCTACAACAACCAAGGACTTCCTCACTCAGGTACTGGCTTCTCCTTAAAATGTACCTTCAGCATAGACGTGCAAACATGTAGCTTAAGGCATTTGGTGTCCAATTAAGGTGGACATAGACACAGTGGATCAACACCCCACTGCCTCTACGGCCTCAAAATGCCATGGGACTACCTTTGCTAGTCTCCACCAGACTTCTTTTGCGGGGTGAATAAATTGTAGAAATCGGCCTAAAAAGGGTATTAATTGGCCAGAGAAGGTAGCCGGCCAGAGAAGCTCCATTTCCCTGCCGAGAAGTCTCGACCGATTTCTACAATTTATTCACCCCACAAAAGAAGTCTGGTGGAGACTATACCATTGCTACCATGTACAAGTATGTGTGGCAAAGTTGCCAGCTTCTTAATTGTTCTGTTTAGATTCTCAGCGGTCTGCTCAGCCTTCAATCCAGTACTTGTCATAAGGTCCTAAAGTCATTACTAGCACACTAGTACTCTCCAAGCAGAAGTTGATGGTGGAAGATCATTTGCTTTTTATATATGGCCCTTTTTTTGTCGCTACTACCACATAGAGAATGAGACTTATGTGGGGAAATGGTTACAGACTGGCCAGTTTGATACTGTCTTACCCCCACCAAATTTTTAAAAGATCTGCTTGAAGGCCCTAAAACACTGCACATTGAAGACACAATGACTTGATCCATGTCTTCCTACTTAGGTTGCTTTTGCCAGCTACGAGGAGTATGCAACGTTTGAGGCTCTTCTGGAACAAGAAGAAGAGACAGACGCGGACACAAGTGACATGTCCAGTTCTGATGAGTCTGAGACAGAGGAGGACACTGATGAGGATGAGGAGACAACAGAGAGATGAGATGATGAACAGGGTTGCCTTTCATAAGCAATATTTTTGGGGCTAAAAAACCCTAATGTCCACTACCAAAAAAAATATCCGCCCAAGCCCTTTATCTTTCATGCCAGCCAGGAAAGCCTAGCCTCTACCAGGCTTGAGGGCGCGGATGGAAATAGTAGAAATTGGCCAAATAGAGAGATGACACGCCGAGGGAGTTTAGCCATCCAGTTTACAGTTTCTGAGTCGCCGGCAAACTGTAAACTGGATGGCTAAACTCCCTCGGCGTGTTATCTCTCTATTTGGCCAATTTCTACTATTTCCAGCCGTGCCCTCAAGCCTGGTAGAGGCTAAGGAAAGCCGACTAGGGCTTCTGTGATATTATCACTCTCTAACGAAAAGGGCTGACACCCAGGCTATCAACAGGAAAGAGACACAGATTCCCCCATTAAAGAACAAGTCAGGACTCCTGGTTACTGTAAATGAATCTACATGTATATTTGTGGTATCTTTGTTTTGCAATATTCTGTCAAATGATGGATAAATGGACTCTGGCTAGAACACTCGTTCGACTACTAAGTACACAATATGTATATAATTGGGTCTTATTTACAAATTGACATAATACAATACAATGCAGTGACAAGGAAGCTGGACAGGTACGATATTTTAGGCAAAGAATGACTCCATTCTAGTAAATGTGCAAACATACTTGCCATGAACATCAAAGACATTATATACAATACAATCATATTGAAACTTGATGTTCTGGATCCTAGCACCACATATATGCACAGATGACAGTTTAGAAATCTAATTGCATAACATATATAATACATAATGAATACATGTACATTTCAATGGGACATATAAGTTAAGGCACATATTAATAGCCTGAATCCTTGTGATCATTTCATGGACACACTTTTTTGTCTCTTCTCATCATACGTTCTCTAGTTAAATATATTCTAGGGTTTAACATACTACACATATTAAAAGCATATTGAAAGTAATTTAGTAAGTAAAACTTATTCCTCATCATAGATGCATAAAAGCAAAGTTGTCCGACTAAAGGTTATCTTTGTAACACAGCAACACCTAACTGCTGTACGAATCAGGAACAGTCATTCAATTATTGCCCTGAAGAAGGTGTAGACTGTTGGATGTGAAAACCCACTGGTTGTATGTTGAATGAAGAACCCTCTAATACAGTCTCTGGCCAACCTGATGAAGTCATTCACGTCGGATGTGAAAACCCACCGGTTGTTAAGAACCTTCAGTTCTTATGTACACAGTCTCTTGCAAACAGATGAAATTATTCACAGATGACGGCTATCTCCTATAGTCACCACCAGACTAACAACGCGGGTTAAAAGGAAGGAAAATTTAGCCAATAGGGAGAATAATTGACTAGGGGAGTTTTGCCAGCGTAGAGTTCATTTGTCCGCTATCCTAGCCAACTAGTTCCCTTTTTACCAAAATCTATGATCCGTAAACCCGTAGGAAGGCCTGGTGGAGGCTAGCTATCTCCTAAAACTGTCCAATGACCTGTCGTCGTCTAGCGAGTTTTGGCTCCTCCCCTTTTTCTTCTGAGTCGCCATCCACTCCTCGTCATCCTCCTCGATGATTGACAGGCCTTTCCTGATCGCCTGCCGGTGCTTCTCTGCAACTTCCTGAGTAGCACTGAAGGCAATGAAAAAAGTCTTGATTTCAATGGGCCCTCGGGCTACACTAATAGGAACTAGTATGAATAAAAACATGAATAAAACAGGCTCAAGCTAACAAAAGGTTTATTCTCTCTCAAACGCATTCATATACATGAGGACTAGGCCCCCCAGCTCTGTCCTGCCACTTGCTACATAATGTAACCCAACACCACAGGGTGTCTGCTACAGCACCAGTCACCATGGTGACAGCTGTCTGTGTCATGTCATTGACCTTATGTGTTCGAGGAAGAAGAAGAATAGAGCAAAAACAATACTCAACATTTTCTTCTTGCATATCAAACAAAATATAGTTTGTGCTTTTAAACCTGCTTTTCTTAAAATTCCCCAGTGTCACTAATCGATGCTACCCAAAAGGTCTGACCGTTTCCGAAATCACACCAGTTGACTGACTTTTATGTTTTCCTTCGCAGAAGGAAGACATTGTTTTTGTTCTGTTTCTTCTTCTCCAAACAAATATGGTCAATGACCTGAACCAAACGTTTGTCACCATGGTAACTGGTGTTGGGTTACATCATGTTGCAATTGTTTTTCTTTTTTACTTTCTTCTACTAACCTCTGAACGTGACGCACTCCTTGTGCCCGTATATCTCGCGGCCAACCTGAGAGGCGTGTCCCCAAACTGATCCATATCATTGTCTAAGGATATGTATATTAGGAGAAGAGAAGAAGAAATATTTTGCTTCGAAGATGAAAAAAACTAAATATACACTATATACTGACCTCTGCAGAAACGTGACGCACTCCTTGTGCCCGTATATCTCGGCCAGTCTGAGCGGCGTGTCTGCTACAGCACCAGTTACCGTGGTGACAGACATCTGGTCTAGGCCATTAACCTTACTTGTTAGGATATGAGGAAGAAACAGAGCAGAAACATAAAGCTACTACACTGACCTCTGCAGAAAAGTGACGCACTCCTTGTGCCCGTATATCTCGGCCAGTCGTAGCGGCGTGTCCCCGAACTGGTCCTTCTTGTCGACGGGCGCGTTCATGGAGTGCAGGACGCGCAGGATGCTGAGGCGGCCCATCTCCGCCGCGAAGTGCGCCGGCGTCCACCCCGTGGTGGTCCGCATGTAGGGCTTGGCCCCGCTGTCCAGCAGCAGCCGCACGCTCTCGCCGTGCCCTGGAGGCCGAGAGATGGCGAAGAGATATGTTATAACAACATGGAGTGGAGGACGCGCAGGATGCAGAGGCGGCCATGAGGCAAAAGACAGCCCGGCCCTCTATACATGTATGCCCTGTCCCTAGTGCTGAAAAGCAGGTTGACAACTGATAACAAAAAAAAGAAGGAAACTTCAACCACAGTGTTTTGAATAGTATCAGGTCAATACATTTAATATGTGATTGATGGCAGGTGGAGCATATCAATTATGTAAATAAGAGCATAATACGCATCCGTCCTATCCATCGAAGAGGATGCTGCTTTCTGACCTTTACTTTGAACTGAAAGCTTTAATTTGGATTTGATGATGAACTGAACAGAACTGATCATGACCTGAAGAGGACGATTTCATCCTGCCCAGTCATCAGTGGCTCGTGTAGGGTTTTATCAAATCCGGTAATTCTTACATAATGGCTGCACCTTTATAAGCTGCCCAGTGTAGCGGCGTCCTGTCGTCCCACTCCGGATCCTTCACGTTGATCAGTGACTCTTATAGGGTTTTATCAAAGCAGGTAATTACCATATAATAAACTGTACCTTTATATGCGGCCCAGTGTAGCGGCGTCCTGTCGTCCCACTCCGGATCCTTCACGTTGATGTCCCGCCCGCTCTCCACCATCTCTTCCAGCGTGTCGTTATCGCCTATCGCCGCGGCCTCGTGCACGTCTGTCATCACCGCCATACTCATCTGCAGTAAGTGTATAACGTTATATAATAAGAGACATGGCTATACGTTAGTTATACACAGGTCTACAGTACACTTCAGAGACGACTAACGTTCAAACCACAATTTCCTCTCATCTTATCGTCGATGGCTGCCGTTTCGTGCACGTCTGACACCACCGCCATACTCATCTGGGTTGGATATGTTCACTGAGGGACACGGGCCGTATAGCATGGTTTAGTTTAGTGACAAATCATTAATTAAAGTATGGTTTAGGGTTTCTCACTCATATAATTTTTATAGCATATTATATATAGCAGTAAATGGGCGTATACAGAACGCTTTAGGGGATCAGTACAGTACTTGGATTAAAATAATATTAGACTGTGCTGCACTGATCTTCGAAATCTGAGTTAAGGCAACGATTACCATTTTCTAAATCTATAAGTAAAGTTTTTTTTTATTGTTACTATCGGTTCGCTCCCACAATCATCACATATAGCCACTAAGCCATTGTATGTAAGATTTCCGTACTGTAGTAGCTCCAGTAAGCCTTTTCACAACATATCAATGATTAACGTTTGACAGAAGATCGGGCCCTGTTGTTGTTCTAGTATCACGGGAACAGACCATTCGTGCAAGCACGCACAGACACTCAACCTCGCTTTCTTACCGGGTCATTTGGGCTCCTTGTGATAAACCCGCCGCCGCGTGCTATTGTAAGGCGGAAAGAATCGCTAAGCAAATACACCAAGTCCAGACAACGCCATATTTCAACAGCCCCGTTAACCGGCAACTATTAAACTCGACGAAAAACAATTATGAAACGCAGTGTCATTTTCCTTTGACAATTTTTTTTTCCATCCAAGATATGCAGGGAAACTCGTAGGGAACATTCTTGGGCGTATGTACATGTTAGGTCAGGGTGTAACGTAACACCGTTGCCTAGCAACCAATGTTTACCTTCCCATTGTGTCTCTACTTGAACAGGTAACTTGATACCCCGTAATGGTGGGGCTTAAGCCGAAATCTCTAGACGGTAATTCTTAGTTTTGTCGCTAATCGTAACACGTAAAGTGTGTCGATCCTTTGCATACAGGGGTACAGCAATGTTTCCAATTTAATAAAATTGTACGTAAACCACCAGAAGTAGCCTCCATAGCATGCCAAAAACTGGGGGTTTGGGGGGGGGTCTTCAGGGTCTTCATGTGCTATTTTCTGATTGCATATAGACCACATAGCCGGCCTGGTTGAATTACCCCCGTTTTTTTAACAGGGCTAGTCAGAAAACATCCGAAGACATTAACCAAACCCCCAGTTCTATAAGCCTGCTACGGAGGCTAACTAGAAGCCACTACATATATCCTGTGTACACATTTTGTATGGGCTGACGACGAAGGATCTACGTGGCTGTAGTGTTTGTTAAAAGTCAATCATGCGCGGCGTCAGAACTGACCGATCTGGTTATATTTTGAGAGGGAACTTTGTAGTATACATGACACCTGTTTCTCACACTCAACAGTGTCTGTTGTGTACGGTTATTGCTCCTCAGAAATTCTGCCTTGAGACCCTTTAAATACTCTGTCTACCGTGAACCCTAGGTATTTGCTGAACCATAAACATTGGTGCTCTACACAGCCATCCACAGATTCCGATTTAAGGTTTCATGTACAGAGAAAGGATGTGGGACAACACAATGATAATGCTTGCCAGACCTATATCTGATTAGTGGTATTTACGCCGAATTAAGGCATGAGATCGAACGGTTTTGATACAGTACTGTTTACGTTTCCAATGTATGCATTACCTGAACGACGTAAGGGTATTACCACATACACTTACCTGTTCAGTTTGAATTTTCTTGCCCCGCCGTAGAAACCCTCTCAGCCTCTGCCACTGTCGCTACGACCACGAAACGCGCCTTATCTTCCCGTTTTAACGCCGGTAAAGGTGGGATAACTAGTGGCAGGAACACCTGGTGGCGGCAGGTCACTCCATGATATATCACACCAGGTGAGGGGTCAAAGGTCATGCGATGCGAGTGACGCGCGAAATGAATTGTCAAATATTATGACCGATGTGGTAGCGAATCCGGACCAGACGTTTTTATAAATACATATATTCCAACATTTCATGATCAATTGTGAAAGTTCAAAGTTCGGATTCCTAACAGGTGTCCATACAAGTTTACATCAATGTAGGACGAACAAGAAGACATCAATGTATCAATATTCGTAACTTTCGGATAATAGATGATTTACTTGTTACAAGTTTCACTTGATCCAAGCACTGGGTGCCAAGATGTTGCAGGTTAGATTAAGATGGCCCTGCCCACCGTAACATTTAAAATCTAACTTGGGGGGTAGCCATCACCTTTCTCGTGACCTATCGCATCGGCATCAGCGTGAGATCTTATGATCACTTGATTTTTTTGTGAATTGACGCAATTGATAACGTTAGTATCTTATTCGATTTATAGAGAAATTTGAGGCCAAATCCGACGGTTACAATCATTGTAACGTCAGTATGCCTAATTTTCATGGGTTCCAGATATTTTTCAATGGTACAAAAGGCGTATTGGGTTGTCCTCTGTGAGCACATTTTTCACTGTTGAACCGGAATTTCCGAGAATGCAGAGGGTTTCACAGTCAGATACAGGACACAGATATAGAGTGTGTAGCATTGCAGTATCTGCCAGTATTCATGAGGGTCTGCATGCCCTTTTTCGTTAACCGTTATGGGCTATTTTAATTTACCGTTAATCGTTGCCGGCCCGCTCTAATTCAACGTTAAGCGTTATCAGTATATTCCTCGTGAAGCGTTATGGGTCGTTTTAATTCTACGTAAAACGTTATTTGTCATCCTAAATTCATCGTTAAGCGTTAATGAATAATTCTTCGTTACGCCTAATTTTGCCTTTCAAAGTGCAGGAAAATGCGTCATTGAAGGTTTAAAAATACAAAATTTCCCGGGGGAGAATGCCCCCGGACCCACCTACATTGCTCGCGCCTTTGGCGCTCGACTCGCGCTTCTGCGCTCGGTCCCTTCGGCTCTACTAGCCAGAACCAGTTTTCCCTTCAATTTCCGGAAGTTTGCGGAGAGTTACAGAATTTTTTTTAACGAATCCGTCAACCTTGACAGGCAAATTAACAAAAATCTTGAGTAAAATATGAAAACATCAGAAGGACCGACAAACACTCTCAACACTATGATTTGCCTCTCAAAATGCGGGAAATTGCGTTTTTGAAGGCTTAAAAACCCTAAATTTCCCAGGGGAGCATTCCCCCGGACCCCCCTAAATTACGAGCGCCTTCGGCGCTCCCCTCTAAAAATCCATCGGTAAAACTGGGCCGGCAGACTGAAAAAAATGCAAGCTGGCCGACGTCGACTCGGACACCCCGGTATTTGTGGACGCACTCGGGGACCAGGGCAGGTGGGAAGCACAGGGAACACATGCTTCATTACATGTAAGGTATACGTAATTTTGTCAATGATCACCTTTTCTCACAAAGCGAGGTACCAAATCCAGTGCAGCTCGAAAAAAAAGCCTGTCAATTTACCGTTAAGCGTTGTCGACCGTCCTGAATTTACCGTTAAGCGTTATCGGCCCTGCTGAATTTACCGTTAACCGTTGCCAGGACCCCCCCATGCAGACCCTCATTCATGCTAGTATTCATGATATGTAACAGGGCCCCATAGGTTTATACTAGCAGTGTTCATTTTCCTAAATTAAAGGTAAAAGACTAAAAGCCAGTAGCAGAAAATTGAAAACATTTACTTTACACGTTAATTTTCATAGTAATGCATATCATTACAAAGTGGTAAATACTTCGATTGTTAGAACATCAGGTAAATTAAGATATGACGTAGTGGGCTTGATGACGTCACGACCTGGTGCAATCCGCCCTCAGCCGGTTTGTCAGTGTTTATAGCCGGGCCCGGCTTGGACATATAACAGTTTGTCGTTTTGTAGTTGGTTTAAACGTTGAAACCTGTAGCGCAGAGGCAGTTAGGAGTTATCGTAGGAGTTGCAGTGTTGTTTTCTGTGGAACGGCTGTCAATTCTTCAATCCGGGTTGGTGCTGGGAAGAGGAAGAACGCACGCAGTTGGTTCGAGCGCGGGCCGCCGACATTTTTTTTGAGGACGATAAAAGTGAGTTGGGCGCTCAAGGTTCTTCTAGTTTCCAAGGACACGGCTCTTGTTATACAACATTTCCTAGAAGCATTGTGTGAGCTTTCCTGTTGGTTTAGAGCTGCCCATGTCAAGCTAAGAGTACTGTTTCTAAAACGTTTAGCTTCTTTTGAGCATAAATAGTTTGGTGTTGTTTACCACCCCCCTCCCCCATGACGTATGCACGCCATGGGCAACGTGACCGGCACGGTTCCAGGTCAGGCACACGTGACCAACAACCGACGAATGACAGCGGAGCACCAGAAACAACAACAACAGGGGGTTCAAAAATAGTTCAGTATGCACGCCACCGGCAACGTGACTTATTCTAATCTCCAAGCAGATGTTTCGGTGGCTGCAAAAGACAGTATCAAATTGGCCAGACAGTATCAAATTGGCCAGACAGTATCAAAGGGGCCACCTCTGGCCACCTACTAGTAGCTGGCCAATTTGATACTGTCTTTTGCAGCCACCGAATCATCTGCTTGGAGATTAACTTATTCCTGAGGCTCCTGAATGAACATGTAAATGAGATAAGCTAAGGATGTAAATCTGGCTACTACAGGGGTGCCAGAGTATACAGTGCAATTTTACGGAATACAGTGCAATCGTATTAGTATACAGTGCAATTTTACTAGTGACGTCAGTCGAATCACATGACTTGGACACTTGTAAAATTGCACTGTATTTCGTAAAATTGTAAACTTGCACTGTATTCCGTACTGCATACTCCGACACCCCTGTATTTCATGGGTACTAGCCGCTGAGGCCCCTAAATCACTGACGCCCAGTGAGGGGTCTGTGTTACACCAGGGACAGTGAAGGTGGTTCAAAAATAGATTGTTTTGTAACTTGCTCTATAATTTTTTTTCTGACGGCAGTTTCAACCAGTTTCAATTTGCATCAATTTTAGTCTAGACAACTGTTGTCCAATCCACCGGGGAATCAAGATAGTCTAGTGTTGTTTACCGCCCCCCCCTCCCCATAAATTATCTACGTAAGTATGCACGCTACTGGCAACGTGACCAGGGACGGGAGTTCAAAAATAGGTTGTTTTGTAACATGCTCTATAATATCTTACGACGGCAGTTTCAACCAGTCTGCATCAATTTAGTCTAGTACTACACAACTGTTGTCCAATCCACCAGGGAATCAAAACAAGCTAGCTATGGCGTCTCTTGGAGGGCATCCAACTGAATTTATCCAGTTGTCATGGCTGAAAACAAGGTTGTTGTGATATGGCATGATTGTTCTTGATGGACCCTGAAGTTGTACTGTACATATTTACTAGTCGCGGCTACAGTGTTCTCACCAGGTTTTTTTTTTTTCACAGCATAGGGGTCAGGTACGGAAGGGCAACTTTCGCCTAATTTCAGCCTAAAATTTTGGAACTCATAACCCCCTGAGACACTAGTATTTCTCACTTATTAGGGGACAGATTTTGTAAAATTAAGTCTAGTGTTGTTTATCGCCCCCCTCCCCCATTCAGTTATTTACTAGTATGCACGCCACTGGCAACGTGACCGTCACGGTATCTAGGACAGTGACTGAAGGAGATTCAAAAATAGATTATTTTGTAACATGCTAGATATAATTTTTCTACGATGGCAGTTTAAACCAGTCTGCATCAATTTAGTGTAGACAACTGTTGTCCAATCCACTGGGAAATCAAAACAAGCTAGCTGTGGAGACTCTTGTCATAGCCTGGGTGCCACACCTATAGCACATTGGACACAAAATGTCTGTGAGCATGGATATTTTGTGTCCAGTTTGCTATGGGTTTGGCACCCAGGCAGCCTGGGCCAGGCTACTCTTGTCATGGAGGGTCGCCAACTGAATTTATCCAGTTGTCAATGTCATGGCTGAAAACAAGGTTGTTGTGATATAACATGATCATCCTTGATGGTCCTTGAAGTTGTACTGTACATATTTACAAGTCGTTACGATGAATCTGTGGCATTTCCCTTGTCAGATTGGTTTGTTTCCATGTACATGATTTTACACTATTCTTAGTTATACGTAATATGTAAAGAACAAAACTTATAAAATTGGTAGACAGAAAATTAACAAAACCAAATGAGGTGTTGGTAAGCTACAGTTAAAGGCAAACAAGACTGACCAACTGTCTCTAATCATCATGTTTCAGCACTTGTCTGATGTTCATTCTGTGTGAGATTACCTCATCTTCCTTACTGGTAACTAACCAAGATGTTTCTCTTCTCCTTACAGGTTATCAGTGCATGATACGGTTCTTGGTTTAGAAAACTCAGAAGGATCTCAGAATTAAAGTCAAAGACTTGAGGAAAGGACACAAGAAGGTTCCACAGTTGTTGAACAACCATGGAAGGGACTGCAAAATCTGAGCCGCTAACCATCCAGGGCAAGTCAAATAGGCCTGAGCTCAAACGCCTTGCGATGCCGAAAAAGCCTAAAGACAGATACGAAAACGAATGGGACGAGGCCAAGCCCGAAACCCCGCCGACCACGGTCAGAGGACCCTTGCTGTTCGGCAAACCCAGGCCAAGCAAGTTCTCCCACCTAGCTGCACAGATGGAAACAGAGGAGTCAGGCACAGCGACAGACGAACTGAACAGACTGCAGCCTACAATAACTCGTGCTGCACCCAAGCTACAGATAGCGCAAAATTACCACCACACGCAGCTGCAAGGAAAGGGACTGCTGAAGCAGCCACAGCTGCAGGATTTCGAGAAGAACGCAGGTGTCCATGTGGCGCCCGAACAGCTGCGGAAGGGCGTGCCGGGGGAAGTCTCAAAAGTTCAGCGCGTTCCCGGGAAGGTGGCGCAGTTGAACGGGGAACAGAGAGCCAGTTCGTTGCCAGGCACGCCGACTGGAACCCCGCCCAAAACTTCAGCAGAGAAGCACCACAGCTGGTTTGGGGTTGTGCAGGAGGAGAAGCCGCCCTGTGTCCCACAGACCATCTACCTGCCTGAGCAGAGAAGATGGTAAGTTTGGTTTTCTTGAGGTTGAACTCTAAGTCTAACGTCTAAGAAACTTAAATTTTTTTCTTCAGGAGGTGCTTGTGATTGGTTTGCATTATTGTGCATGTATGACTCACATGAGGGTAAGAGTGGAAATTATTTCAGAAAATAATACAGCTTTTATGAAGGAACTATTTGATAGTATTGATGATGATATATTTAATAACCCACACACACTCATGGACACAGGAATGTCTTTTTTGTCACTGTTGATATATAATAGAATGAAATTATTTTACCAAGACTACATGTACTGTACAGTATATATATGTTGTGTTTGCATGTTTGATTTTGATTTTTGTATTCAGACAGTCTGTTCTAACTTCTAGTTTTGGTAAGTGTATTTTGTGCGCACATAAACGTTGTTGTACAGACTACATCATAGTACATGACATGTTTCTATGCTGTGTTTGCAGGTTTGGTTTTGGCCCGGTGTACCAGCCCACCCAGACCGTGTGTGTTCCCGTCCAACCCAAAGTCAGCGTTGTAGACCAGGTCAAGCAGAAGGGCCTGTCCACCAAAACCAAGCAGTTTTACCATCAGGACTCCGATAGAGACTTCTTTGTGGACAAAAACCACCAGGAGATGCCTAAGATAACCAAGAGATGCCCCAGGAGCAACGCAGAATTCAACGCCCTCGCACCTTCGACGTTGTGAAGGAAGGAATCGGCAAAGAACTTGTAAAGATTGTGTCTGTCTATGGATTTATGTATTCAGATATTTGTAAAACGACAGTTTGTACATTTGCATACCAAGTGACCAAGGCAGTGATCAATACATGTACTGTAGAGCTCAGTCAGCAGAGGATGGTTGGTGAAACTTATCAAGGAAAATTGAAATTAGCCATACAGTCAACAGTGTCAGTATTTTTTCTCTAACCTGATTGTCATCCTCTGTATAGTTGTTACCACTCACTGGTTCTCTTGGTTTGCTTGCTGCCATATTGGTAGAAGTTAAAGGGGAGAGCCAGTGGTAACTACACAGGATGGCACCCAGGTACATTTGTATTATCCTTTCAGGAGTCATACCAAGTACAGTGTTGTATGTAAAGATTTCACTCTGGCAGAAATTCAGAATCTGTTTCCTTAACTGAATGCTAGTACTGATCAAACTTAACAACATTGAACATGATTTAAGACAAAAACTTTATGTTAATTGCCTTTATGCTACCTCAGATTGAATGACCAACACTGTAGAGGCAGTTGTTGTTAAGTACTACATGTAGTACTAAGTACTTAAAGGACATGGGCTTGTTCTCGAGCTCTGGTTTACTCCATTTACTTTGTATTAGTTTTCAAAAATGAGAAGAAAGGATAGAAGATTGGTTACCATAATAAAAAAAGGGAGAGTGTTAACATAATCAATGTGATTCAAGTTTTGTTATTGCCAGTATCTATCAATATCATTGGAATGAAAAATGTACAAAATGTATTTTCTGAGAAAATTATGATGAGATGACTACAAGTCAGTAAGTTAGTGATGTTTGAAAGACGGAGTAAGGAAAATGTGCCAGTGTTAACTGAATTCACTTCTCTGTGTTGTTATTTATAAAATTGTTGTCCTTGTTGATAATAAATCCTTTTGGTGCTTTGATCTGTATATGATGATTCAGTTGTCATTTATCAATTCATATCTATGAATGGAGGTGGTGAGGAAAATTTTTGCTGGAAGAAAAGGTAAACATTCATATTTGTAAATTCTCATTCTGTTCATACTCATAGACAAGATGTAAGACAAGTTTTGGTTGGTTTGTTTTCTCCCAGAAAGTACAAGAATGTGATTATTCCATATAAATGCAATGAAGGGTCGGTTTTGGGTCATTTATAGGCCTGCATTTATACATCATGATTTATCAATGAGTCAATTCAAGGTCGAAGCAGAGTACACCTGCAGTACCACCGTTAACAAACGAGTGGCGCAACTAGACGGCGCGAACACGCCAGTTTTAGAATAGGGCCAGTCCATGTGTGGCAAGGGTAGAAAAGTGAAAAGTTATTTCTACTAATATGTAAGATATGATATTTTACGTATGTAGTAAACGAAAGCTAATTTATAATTGAAAAGAATATATCTCCGGGTTTAAAGAATACGATTTTTCTCTCTCAGCTGAAAAATAACCCGTTTGCTAATGTCAACTTCAGCAAAACACCCCCTATTTCCGAGTGAGATATTCCCAAGATGGCCGTCGCGATCTGAAAATTGTTTTCAGGCGTGAGAAAAGGTCTTTCTTCTCCGTTTTTCTGACGTAATGTAACGTCTGCGGCCTCACCAACACTGTTATAGTAATCAAGAGAAGCTCTGTTTTACATAGGAACTTCCGAAATTCGTAAGCTAACGTACAGAACCATGCACGAGACGAGAGAAGACCAGCTGGCTGAACTGTCGTGTTACCTGGACGGTAGCAGCACCAGACTGAGCGGCGTTCTGCAGAGGCTCGGGTGGACGGACGAGAAAACATCCGACGTTGTAAGTATATGCATAAGTTTTGTGGTCCACACTGAATGGTGACCAGACTTCCGAATTCATGACAAAAGTACAGTCTGTAAAGGCTATAGCTAGGCCACAGGACTAATAAATAAAGTCAAGATGACTGTCTCTTTGTCTCTGTAACGTTGAAACGTGTAAAAATAAAAATAATTTATTTACTAGTAGCTATGACGAATCTTGAAGTTGAATCAGGCTTTATTTCATTGCCCTCATGTTCTATATATTATGTATGTCTTATCAAGTGTTTAACTTGCTATATAACTTGTATGTCTAGCTGTACATGTGTGTATGTAACGTTATTATGTGTACTACATGATATGTAACGTTATCGGCTGTTTCACAATTGAGTGTACCCATTTACTTTTCCACATGTTACCAGTTGATAAGAAAGTCTACATGATATATTGATGTTTCAGACTTATATTTCCCAAAAGCTGGTGTGACAAGGAACATTACAATAAAAAAAGTAGGGAAATCGGTCAACATTCGGCGAAACTATCGACAAATATCTTACTTAAAAATGCCCCATTTTCAGTGTTACCAGCCGTCATTCAGTTTTTTCACATTCTAACCATTGCTGCAGACATCACAAATATGGTTGCTAGCTTAAGATTTCTTATTTTGTACAAGCAGGCATATGTTTACTAGAGATTTGTTACCAATTTTTGAAGATACACCACCTTTTTTTTGCCGGGAAGGTTATTTTTCACTTTTACCCCCATGTTACCAATTTAATGAAATATTTACTTAAAGATTGCAAGGTCTTTAGCATTGTTTAATTATGCTGTTATAAGTGCTAGTTTGACATGTAAAGGTTTAATATGATGTATATAAGAGAAAAAAAATTGAATGAGATCATTCCTACTTTCATCTGACTCACAGCTAAGGATTGAAGTACAGGCTGCCATTTTCCGAAAAATTTTGTCCCGTCCGTACCCCCTCTTGATTTCTACATTAAGTAAATACTATAAGCTTCTAATTGTGATGGCTTATAAGTCTCTATTGGCATATACCAAACCACCATAGAAACCATTTCTGTGATAAAGACTTTGCCTGATATAGCACAACAAACCCCCAAATGTCCCGTCCGTACCCCTGTCCCGTCCGTACCCCCCACCTGTCCCGTCCGTACCCCCACTTTTAGTTTTTAGCCAAGTACTGTGGAAAATGGCATTCCAATTGCTTGAAATACTCATAGTAAAACCTTAAAAGATACAAACATTTGTCCTCCTTACTAAAATTAGTAGTTTTTAATGAATTCATCAACATTTGCTTTCACCCGGAGGAAGCTCTTGTGGACATTGTCTACTCCGGACTCACGTGCATGTGAACCAACTTTAGAGAACTGTTCTGGTTCTCTGAAAAAAGGTATTAACAAGCCAAGGTTTAAAAGAAAACATACCAGTTCATGTACATTTTGTAGCTATGCTAGAAATTAAGATTCCTTCAAGGGAGGAGGGTTGCCAATAACTCTGAATTTAGACTACAAATCCTGCAGCGCCCCCCCCCCATTCTTTTCTTTGAGCACACTCAAATATATAAATGTACAGGTTCTGATATGTTATATTATGTTATTAATGCTGTTACTAATGTTCCCAAAGCCTTTTTAGCAACATTAGTAATTAGGATCCTTAATACCTACCATCAGCTGTATTTTTAAGGAAAGCCCTAAATTATATAAGCCAGAAAAAGTTTCTGTTCATACTATAATATACAGAAAATTCTAATTAGAATGTCCAGGTCCCTTTTCCTTAGTCTAGACACTATTACAGTGTTTGTAGATACTTCATTTCACTGGTATTAGTGAATAAATGTGCTTCAAAAGGTTTGGACAAGTCCCTGCAGTATCAGTCTTCTGACCCATTGTGTCCCGTCCGTACCCCCACATACAATCATAAAAATGATCATTGAAAAGTCCATTGATGTGTTTCCAAGATATATAAGCTAGAACCTTTTGTAGAAATATATACAGAATGAAATAATAACAGAGTTAAGCTTCCAAATTGCCTGAACTTGAAAATTTGGTATTTGACCTTTCCTTGAACATGAAATGGCAGCAAGTTGTTTTCCTCGCAATATAATAAATGACCAGAAAATGACACAGCAAGGTGTTACTGCAAATCAAAGTCAGTTTTTTGGTGTTGTGGATACTAGTAATGGAAGATAATATGGAATAGTGTTTATCTTTTGTTCTTTATTTGGGTATATTCTATGTAACTTTACATACAGTCTTGCAGTTGTCCCGTCCGTACCCCTTAATGACCCATTATGTAAAAGACCTGTATCACAGTGACCGAGAAGTGTTGTGCAGAGATATTTTAGGATATGAAGCCCAAAGTATGTACCTTTGAATTGCCAACATAAATTTTGAAGTATATGAAAGTTGATTTTTCACTCCAACAAGTGACAGCCTTTTGGTACACTCAATTGTGAAACAGCCGTATGTATGTCTAGTCCTAACGTTGTACCCCTATGTCTGTCTTTCTGTCAATCTATGTCTAGATCTGTCTTGCAGTATGTAACTTGTATCTGTGTGTGTCTGTCTATGTGTTGTACATTATGTGTTTCTTTGTAGATTACTAGTACAACAACCAACTCTCGGTGAAAAACAGTCTCTGATTTTGCTAGCAACAGAGAAATAGAGGAAACTTGCAGATGCCCGCATAGCAGCCGACCATTGACATCCAGTTCAGCTCAGTCCATTATTGCAATGTTTCAGGACCTGGCGTTGTGTCCACTGAATTCTGCACACCGCGTTCCACCGTCCAGCTTAGCAGACCATGTGAGGGACTGCCGACTGGCCAAGGCTGGGTATGATGCTGAGGAGAGGGTCTGTACATGTGCACAGTCATGTTGTCTACCTGTTTAGAGTTAAAACTTAAGATCCAACACAAAAAAAGTTCTCTCACCTAGAGCTTTCGACCAGTCACTCTGGTCTTCCTCAGTAGACTGACCCAGTGAGGCTTGTCACATGGCTTCTTTGAAGTGTGACGTTAACACTGGGTTGTCTACCATACAAAAAAAATGTATATATATAACAGCCAGGGTGTCATCCTATTTGATTTGTATACCGGTGTAATAGACCAGTATTGTACATTATTTTGTCCTAGAATGAACATACTACTTAATGGATTGCACTCAGATGTACGGAGTTCAAAAGACTAATCCTGTTTCAGTTTTTTAAATAAAATCTCTTTTAGTCATTGTTTTCAGTTGACTTGTTTTTCCTTTAATTAAGTCATTTTTGTAGCCTGAAACCCAGCCTTGGAATCTATAAAACTGTTTTATGTTTTCTACTCCTGTAGGAGAGGATGAAGGAGAGCTCTGAGTTCTACTACGCCAAGTCTACATCTGTGGTGCCAGTCGTGGTCGGTAAGTGTTGCCTGCAGTACCAGCTACAGCAGATAGGGGCTGGAACAGCTATCACTGGTAGAGCAAGTTACAAAGAACATTGGCTTCAGATAGACTTGTTGACACCAATTTCGGTTGCATCAATTAACTTACATGCATGTGGGGTAGAAACTCCAATCTACACAATTCTACCAGTTGAGATCTTCATCAGTGTCTTTGTTGATAGAAACTCCGATAAGAATGCTGTTAATCTGTTAGGGTGGTTTTCCAGTTACAAATCCTAAATTTCATTTTCAAGTCAATTCTGTATTGATCTAAAGTGACATGAAGCAAAGTTGAAAAATTCTACAGACCTGTTACAATACTTTATCAATGATGAATATCTATGCTATGCTGACAGAAGTCATTGCTATTTTTACTTTTGCAGAAGGAAAACATTTTTTTGCTTTGTTTCTTCCTGTGTTTCTTCTTCCTTTTTTTCCTTCAATTTAATAAGGTCAATGAGCTGAACCAGAGTCTGTCACCATGGTAACAAGTGTTGGGTTACATCAATGTGTTATTGTTCCACATTGTTCCACATGTTGCAATTTTTAGCAGGAGGGATGTAGACTCCTGTCACCATATAATATGAATGTGTTTGAGTAAGAATGAAGGTAAACATTAATATGCATTTTCCTTGCAAATGTTACCTTAAGTTAGAGTTCCTTTTCACATGAGTTCTGCTTGTGTAGACAGGGAGATGCAGGAGAAGGTCATCTCTCAGTGCCCTCCCTCAAGTTCAAGTCGGGATCAGGTGAGAACTTGGTCTGCTATTTTTGTTGACACATAATTTTAGTACATTTTTTTTCACTAGACTCTTCAAGTATATTGCCAATGAAGGTTAGAGTTCTAGACATATAGGTAGTAATGAAATGCCAAGGTAACATGTACAGTTTAATACTTAAGGAATTGGACAGATTTTGAAAAAAAGTCGGATAAAAAGTTTCAAGTAGCATCCAGTACTCTATCAGAGACTGCAATATGGGACTGGAACCGTTTTCAAAAGTTGCTTAACTGTAATCTTGGTATCTATTATGATTATGAATTATCATGACAACATCTAGATACTAGTAGTAATGAGTTATTCAAGCAGATGCGGATAGATTTTGAAACTGGTCAGATGTTTCAGACAGCATCCAGTACTTTTCATGAGTGACTGGAATATCTTACTGTTTTTCAAAATCTATCCAGTTACTTGAGTAAATGTAACCTTGGTGGTATTTTTTATGTTAATATGATTATGAATTGGCATGTGAGCATGCCTGTAGGAAATATGTGTGATGTTTACAGAAAGAAAAGTTCTGTGGAAAGACCTAAACTGTTATTGATTTAGTTATTAGTAAGATTAAGAAACCCAATTTTTTTTACTTATTTTGTTTCCCAGGGCAGAGACAGACAGACGACCAGTTTTACCCAGGCTGTGTCGTCTGCTTCATCTGAAGGTAGGTTGTAGGATCAGGATTAACTGTTTTGTAACACTATAAATGATTTAAATATCATAAATTGAAATGTTTTTCAGATGAGGGTTTCAAGGAGGGGTTCTGAGGTGTTTTGTAATACATTACAAGTCATGTTCCTTCCATGCAAGATCCAACTTCAACATCTTTTGCAATTGCAATGATTTGCATGAAAGTTATTGGTTTATGGAATTTTTGCAAATTTGTGCTGGTATCTTTATGTGATGCAAGGCTATTATAGCTTTACATTATTTGGCTTGCTTTGCAGCACAAGTGTAGTATTTTTTGTTTTTTGATTGTACAACCAAGTTTTATAATATATTATGAGATTGAAGTTTGCTCGTTTTCTTTGCATAGATTTAGTGTGTAGGTTTACCAAAGAAGGCCATAGATATATGACTAATTCATCAGGTAGGCAAGCTTATTTAAGAGCCAGTATAACAAGTTCTTTATTCAATAAAACCATTTTCACATCTGATGTTTTGGTAACTGTCTGTCACCCTCTTCCGGGTAACAATAATGGTTCTGCTCTATAGCTATGAATCAGAACCAGTCATTGTTACCCTGGGTGCCAGCCAAGTTTACGGGCCGCTAACCGTTTCCTTCGGCAGCCAGAGGAATTGAGCCCGTGGGAAGGTTTCGGCCCTACAACTAGCCAATCTCCCCCCGGGCTAGACTCCCCCGTAGCAGTAATTTACACCAGCGGGCGAAGGGCTTTAGTGGGCCCGGAAAACGAGTTCTGGCTTCCAGGGTAGTCATTGTTGCACTAAAGAAGGTGACAGACAGATAGTTACTGAAATATCAAATGTATGTATCCACTGGTTGTTGAATAAAGTACCATCTTATACAGACTGGCCATAGATAGTTTTCAAACTGTCTGGTTCATGTGATTGTCACGGTGCTCTGTTGTGTTTCAGCCAAAGTGGTGAGTGTAGAGTCTGCAGTGCACATCCTCATGATCACACTGTTATAAAACTCTTGTATCCTATACCTCGCATATCCTTCCAAGACTAAATGTTACTGCCATTGTTAAACTACATGTCAAGAATTTAGGCCACACCAATTTGATTCGTTGGTTCTCAGATCTTTTAAAATAAAGTCTGAGGGAAAGTAATATGAAAACAAAACTTACTACATGCACTCTAGGTGTATTTTTAATGAGAAAGTCTAATGCAAATTCATGCCCGAGGGCTAATTGCAAAAACATCATAACAAAAATAAACAGTGAAAATGATAATAAGTAATGCTAATGCTACTCTAGATATACATTTGTAGTTATTGTTGAGTTTGATTTCTTTTCCGTGTGCAGTGGAGTATGAAATGGCCGACATTTTGCAAGATAATAACATTTTACATACTTTTCCATTTGGCTATACTGCTATTTAAGGACCAGGTTATGCCTTGATGCACCCAGTTTTATGGGGTGAAGACGTTCATGTTCAAGTTTTCCTCCCTGCCCTCTGCTTTTATGATGTATTCTTGCTATATTTTTACCTTGAAATGTCTGAGAACCAAGGATATAAATTGGTGTGGTCAGCATTCTGTAATGGTATCAGATACAGGATAAGACTAAGAGTCATCTTAGGTGATATAATGCAACATGGTACGCACTTAAGGAAAGAACTTCAAAGTGTGCTACATATTCCACCTGTACTTGTGGGCAGCTAAAGGAAGGGTAAGCCCTTTATTAAGCATGGGAAAGTTTTGGGTAGTCGTGAAGAACAATGAAATCAGCCATTACTTGAGATGGCTGCTAACAGGACTGATAGTTGTTTTGGTATAACAATTTTTTTTTCTTTATTACCTTCATTACTGTTCATCTTTTACTGTTCATCTGCCAGGTTGCACATAATCAACACTTTGAAAGACTTTGTGTTTAAGAGATTAACATGAGTGTATTTTACATGGGGACATTTAATTGTAGATCTCCTTAAACACATTTTTACACAGTGGAGGATATGTGACCTGGCAGGATATGTTAGTACATGTAGTACGTTACATATACAAGCAGGAGTAGTTAACGGTTTAGAGTTAAAAACTTTTGATTGAACACAGAGTTCTCTCACTTAGAGCTTCCGACCAGTCACTCTGGTCTTTCTCAGTAGACTGACCCAGTGAGGCTTGTCACCCGGCTTCTTTGAAGTGTGACAAGGAGCCATGTGACAAGTCTCACTGGGTCAGTCTACTGAGAAAGACCAGAGTGACTGGTCAAAACCTCTTCGTGAGAGAATTATCTTGTATTGGATCTAAAGTTTTAAACTCTAAACAATCATGTAACTACCAACACAGATGAACTTTCATGATATGGCGGTTAACTGGTACTAGTACATGCAGTGGGTTCTGACTAACGTTGTTTCACTGTTCTACTGAAGAGAGGAGCCTTCCCCTGAGAGATGAGGAACTGACAACTGCACAGAAACTGGCCATGCACAACTATGTGGTGCAGCAGGCCAGCAAAGCCAACAACAGAACATCGGCCTTCTCAGCTGAAGACAGCTCTCTTACTGCAGACCTGGCGGAGACTGTGCAAAAACAAGGTATGTATATTTCCACAGTTATAGTTTGTATTATGTTATTATGGCCATGCACAACTATGTGGTCCAGCAGGCCAGCAAAGCCAACAACAGAACATCGGCCTTCTCTGCTGAGGACAGTTCTCTTACTGCAGACCTGGCGGAGACTGTGCAAAAACAAGGTACGAAGCTTTGTGGATTTCCACTGTGACAGTTATGGTTTGTATTATGTTATTATGGCCATGCACAACTATGTGGTGCAGCAGGCCAACAAAGCTTAAACAACAGAACACCAGCCATCTCTGCTGAGGACAGTTCTCTTACTGCAGACCTGGCAGAAATGGTGCAAAAACAAGGTATGTATATTTCCACAGTTATAGTTTGTATTATGTTATTATGGCCACGCACAACTTTGTGGTCCAGCAGGCCAACAAAGCTAACAACAGAACATCGGTCTTCTCCACTGAGGACAGCTCTCTTCCTGCAGACCTGGCAGAGACTGTGCAAAAACAAGGTACGAAGCTTTGTGTATTTCTGTTGTTTGTAATAGTTATACTTTGTACAATTTGTTACAGATTCCAGGAAGAATAGTTACGCATCACTAATGGAGATGGTAATAAATCAAACAAGCACAAACAAACAAACAGCAGCATGCTCACAGTTGTAAATGATGTAACTCGGGCAATGTTCAGGAGTTTCATGTGCTTCACATATTCATTTATGGCAATCTGTTGTTGGGTCTTTTGAAACCTAGTTGGTAGATCTCTTCTAGAAACTTTCAAGAAATATATTGCTTAGAGTAAACCGCTGTCTGATAGGAAAGAGGAAGAAAGGCTGGAAAAAAGGAATAAATTAGAAAAAAGTCTGTTGGTTCAGCTGTTATGTTACAAGTAAGCAAATGGCTTTCTCAAAAATAAAACTGAAGAAATAAGTTGTTTTCATACTGAAACAACCATCCTTAAGATTGATAGATAATTAGCTACTAATGAGTGATAGTTGTTTAATTGTTTTTTGTTTCAGATGATGACAGTAAAGGTCCGAAGAGTCACCTGGAGATCCTGGCAGAGCTGAGGGACTACAAACGGCGGAGACAGTCTTACAGGGCCAAGAACGTCCACATCACCAAGAGGTCAACTACAGAGGTGACAGACAGTAGACAGAACTTTGCCTTAAATATGGTTGTGTAAGGCCACACCAAGTAATTCCTATTATGAATGACTTCTGTGTGCACATTGATTTTGGCCTGTTCCTAGAAAAAAACAAGAAATTCTGCCTCTTGTAACTATGACCAAAGAGTCAGGACAGTGGGATGAGGGAAGATGTGATTAAAGGGAAGAAACAGGACAGGATGACAACTGCTGCTGCAGTTCCACGTTGCTTGTTACACTGTGTTCTCTCATTCAATTTGTGTCCTAACATTTGTCATCCCTTCGCATATTTCAAATATAGGTATCTTGCTTTTTTATGCCCTTGTTTTATTTCGCATTTATCACATTAGATTTAGGGTCTCCAGAGGACATATTCCATAAAAATTACTTGGTGCAGCCTAAAGTACTGTAATTCACAATTTTTTCGTGGTACTTTTGGTTCTGCAAACAATTTTATTGGTTTGGCTGTTCAACCCTCACAGCCAGGGCAGCCCAACTAGCCAGCCACAAATATGTCCTTTTTTTCTCAGACCCAACCCTTTTGCTACCGCGAACATAAAGAGATTTACAGTATAACATTGATCAACTGCAACTAATTTACTCTAAGTGAGCAGTACTACAGTCAGGATTTATGCTGTTGAAGGTTAGACATCCAGGTAAGGAGATACCAAAGTATCTCTCTGTCAGTCAGTGTTGAAAGACTATGTACAAATCAGTACTGTACAAATCAGAATGGTACAGGGAGGACTTACACCGCCTTAACGTAGTACATAACATCAACCCATAGGATAGAGGCAAATGACGGACTGCCATCAAGCCTTAGCATCAGTGTACAAGCATGTCTAAAGCACGGAAGACAGAAAGTTCCTTTACAGATCTTACAAACCTTTGAAGTTGTTTTCTCCATTTAAAAAAAAAACTTGTTGCTGGTTTGTTCCAGGTGATGAGGCAGGTTATAGAGACTCAGATGGAGATGTTGGAGCAGATGAACAGGGGGAGTAATGACAGTGAAAGGAACAGCTCTGGCACTGACAACAGGTACAGTTAGAATGTGTGTGTGTGTGTGTGTGTTTGCGTGTGTGATAGTGATTGTGTGTCATCTTTGTGTGTTTGTGAGTGTATGACTGTGTGGTGTGTGTGTGAGTGAGTGAGTGTGTGTGTTTGTGTGTGTTTGCATGTGTGACAGTGATTGTGTGTCATCTTTGTGTGTGTGTGTGTGTGTGCATGTGTGTGTGTGTGTGTTTTTGAGAGTGTGTGTGTGTGTGTTTGAGAGTGTGTGTGTGTGCGCATATGTGTTTGTGTGAGTGTGTGTGTTTGTGTGAGTGTGTGTGTGACTGTGTTTGTGTTTGTGTGTGTGTGAGAGTGTGTGTGTGTCAGGGTGTGTTTGTGTGTGTGAGAGTGTGTGTGTGTGCATGTGTGTGCATGTGTGTACAGTGTGTGTGTGTGTGTGTGTGTGTGTGTGTATGCACATGTGTGTGACTTGTCTTCAATTTGCATTTTCATTGCACTGCATTTGTATGAAATAATTTAGTCCTTTCTGATGCCCAAAGATCCTAAGATGAATGTTAGTTAACACTTTTGTCCCACAGATCCAGTGACAGAACCAGTTCCCCCGCTGTGAGAGTGGACTCTCCCAGACGGCATGGCCGACCTGACAGCCCCAGACCGTACCAACGCCACCGCAGGGAGGAACGGCACTCCAAACACAAAAAGTCTCGAGACAAGAGCCGCAGTCGGAGTCCCAGTAGGAGGAAGAAACACAGACATTAGATTTGGGAATAATTTCATCTGGTCATCCCAGACTGTATAAGGAGGTTCTTTATTCAACAACCAGTGGATTTCACATCCGATGTTTTGGTTGACTGCATACCTATCTAGTCCCATGACCGACACTGGTCGTCGGGGGGACAAGGCAGACTTTGCAGCAGAGGTGTAGCCAGGTCTTCCTGTCTTGGGCTACCGTCAGGAGCTGTGGAATGGTGAAGGACGTTTGACTGCATACATGTATTTCAGAAGAAATTTACCAGTACAAACTTATTGGAGGGAATGGAGAAAATGAAACTCAGTTGGACTGCTGAGGATGGGATATGCTGTCATGCCATCAACAGTCATCTTGGTATTGAATCAGAGAAAATAAATAAATAAATAAGTTGCAGAAAAACAAATTTCTGTGTTAGTAAATGAAGATAAAGCCTGTAATGACATATATACTCCTAGTAGCTTTTGAATGCTGTGTTACAAACTGATGGAAGTAAAAGTGCCTTTTATACAACAAGCAATCTCATGATGTGTTTTTAATTGTAGATTATTCACCACTACAGTTAATATGGCATCAAATGGCCAGGTGGCTAGAAATTGAGAGGCCACAGGTTCAATTCCTTTTTATTCCTGGGAGTGAGCTTTATTATGCGATCTTACTACTAAGTAGTATAGCGAAAAAAGTACAATCCAATTAACAAGAGTTCCGAGATCTCATACCTTCATGAAATATGGGCTTGCTTTGTCCTCATTAATTATGCAAATAACCTCTAAATTAACATAATATATGCATAGCGATGCAAACCTTTAATATAAGTAACTTACACATGTTACGAGGTATAAAATTCCCATCATTCACCAATAAGGTTTCACAGAATTTTCACATTAATTATACAAATTAGGTCATCATTTGCATGATTGGTATCTGTTGATGTTCCGCCTGCCACAGATTAAATAGATTACATGTATAGCAGTACCATTATATGAAACACTGTAATTATAGAATTTCCTCATTGATTATGCAAATTAAGTCCTCATTTGCATAATTTGCCTGTAATCATGTACAACTGTCTCTCAGGTACGTACACACCAAAAATGATGAAAATACGTTGTTCCAATCTGGACTTATTGGTTTTGAAAGTTTTTACCAGAAACTAACCAGCAGTTCCAGAACAAGCTGCTAGGGAGACCAAACATACGCCACTTATTCCTGACAGAATACGCTATCTGTCATCAAAAAGTCAAGACCATAGCTTGTTCAGGACAAAAGATACAAAAACCGGAAGTTCTGCTGCAGTACCAAGGTCATCCACCAGGAGGCCCATACTTGACCTTGACCTTTGTCTTTCCAAGACTTACCATCATACCAAATATCATCACAATCCATAAAGGCGTTCTGAAGTTATGCTGACTACAAAGTTGCGGAAACACACACACACACACACACACACACACAGACAGACAGACAGACACACACACAGACATACAGACAGACACGCCAAAAACAATACCTCCATTTTTCATGGAGGTAAAAATGTATGCTAGACTGGCAGAATAGACGAGAATAGACACAATACTGTGACCAAAAGAAAATCAGCAAAATGGCTACTTCAGTGGAGAGCCCTGGAATTCCAGTGCGGAAGTGGTCGTCAGCACTGGAAACGATTATTCTGGAACTGGAAACCGCGTGATGAGGCCACCGACACTGATGTAGAGAGTTGTGGGTTTAATGTATAAGTTCACCTTGTGACTGTACAGTACATAAGAGCTGAAACGTCTACATGTAGTGGTATATATCACAGTTGTGTTGACCATTATAGCAGAGCAACTGCTCTGGTATGTTAATATCTGTCTTTCTGGCCAAATTCTGCTCTTTCCATTGCCGGAGCCTGGAAGAGTCTACGTCTGAACTTAGGACGTGGGACGAGGCTAATCTCCAAGCAGATCCCTTTCGATGGTAAGACAGTATGCAGTACCCATTAGCCTGAGGAGTTTGCACGGCCATCGAAGGTGGCTATTAAAATAAATGGACACTCCTCTGGCCAAGGAGGTTCCTTATATAGCTCCATGCTCTGGCCAATGGTTACTGCCTTGCCACCGTATGATCTGCTTGGAGATTAGGACGAGGCCGCCGGTTGCTGTTTCGTGACGTCACCCTTCGTTGACCAATCGCAGCGCGTCGGCCGTGCCCTACTTTCGGTGCTACTTCGGGGCCGGGCGGAAGTGGACTTTAAGTTTCGGTCCAAATTTCCTGCACAGACATCGCCGTGTGCATATGCATATATGGTGCATGTTTAATAGCAGGACAACCTAGCTGTGTCACAGAAAGGGGAACAAGACTCACCGTACCCTGACAAGGTATGGCACAACCTTATGTCGCATTGTATCAATGTATGTGGTGGATACGAACTGTGTGCAAACAGTTTCAGCTTGTATACTGAAGTTGTGCTGTGGGGGTGGGGTTAGCCCCTGTCTGGTACGTAGCGTTTGTAACCGTGTTTGTGGTTTAGCAGCATAACTTAAGAAGGCAAGGATGGATTGTCATGAAATTGGATATGCTGTTAGGTCTTAAATTGTCGAAAATGATTACATTTTTTAGGAGACTAATTCCTTTGGTCCATGACGTCCATTTCATATTTTGTGTCTCGCCGTGTGTTTTGACATAGCTCTCGCCATGTGATAGCTCTTGTGAAAACTACTGAGCCGGTCTTTGAGTGTGGTTTAAGTTAGCTGACATTATATTATACAGGCTTTTCACATCCGCCATGTTGGATTACAATACACGTGCATGTCTGACATGTTACTTAATAATCAGCTTACCCGCCAACACCTGGTCGCCGAGATTCATATGATAGTTATTACATATAACGTCAATGAAAAGCCTCTATACTGCGCGTGACCCTTTTCCCACTACTAAAGAATAGAATTGTCCGGATCGAGTCGAATAGGTTGGCTTTGATCCGGATCGAATCCAATCTATTCGGCTGGATCCGGGCAATTAGGAAAAGTGCCCTGGTGAAATCACAAATAATGGAATGGTTGTCGGTCTGACAAAACATAACCTGGTGTTTACATTGCCCCCCTTTGCCGCAGTCAAAGTCATGACTGTCAGGCCCTCGTGACTGCACAATCGCACATCTTTATTTGTAACCGGTACAACCGGTACAACGACCGCCGGTGTCAAGCCATACACCTGATCCTGCCAAATACAAGACACTACGTGGGGGTTTCCTAATCTCCAAGCAGATCCATCTCGGTCGCAAAAAGACAGTATCAAATTGGCCAGGCAGTATCAATTAGCAGGAGAAGGTCCGCGGCCACCGACGGTTGGTGGGGGTAGCGACAAAAAAACGGCCATAATAAAAGCTAACGATCATTATATTCCCCCAAAACCTCTGCTTGGAGAGAAGGGTTTCCAATATACCTGAGACAAGGGTTGGTTGTTATGTGGGAGACTAAACCTTACCAGTCGTAAGTCTACTAGCCCTGAACAATGATCCCAACCCTAACCCTAACCCCAGCCCTAAACACCTGACCTCTCACGTATGTGGCAGCTCAAGTATTTGGCTAAACACCGGTACAAAGGCGACAGCGATGACACTTTGAACCACCCTGAGGTATCAAGGTACATGTACGCCCCTTTTATAAGCAAAACATCACGAAAAACCTCTTCCAACACCATGCATACTGACGAAACAATCTGTACTGCAAATCATTGAATGTTTTGGCTTCCTAAAATTGGTAAGAATAAAAAAAAAAATTAAATTAAACTCTCCCCAAACTAGGAACAGGTAGACTGAATGTTACAATGGGCAAACGTTTTTTTTTACACCTGACTGCTAAGATAATCAACCTCAATAATGCGTATCAGCAACCTGTGCACCCCCGCCAGCACTTTTGGTACCGTCCTATATTGACTTTCCTGTTGTTGGTACGAGTATGTCGGGTCATGAACTTATAGGCGATATTGTGTGATGTGTTTTTTTCCACACGTCATTTAACATTAGCTACGTTGGACTTGAATAGACCAAGAAGGTGATTCTTACCTCATTGAATAGACGCTGCGAATGTGAATGAATACTACTAGTAACCAAATAGAATGGGACCCAATGTCATTTTAACAAGGGCTTGGAATATGACGATTTCGATGTCATAGAATGTCATAGAACTAGGCAGTGAATGAACCAGCCACCGACCGACAAGGATCTAAGACAACCGTTATCGTAATACAGCTGAAAAAAGAATGTCGTCAATTTGCGATCCGTGCGACAATCCTACGACCAAGGAGGGTACCAAGAAATGTACTCTCTAGCGGAAAAAGTCCCCCTGTATGCTATCTCTTTATTTTCGACTCTTTCCAGCCGCCTTCTGAAGCTGGTAGAGGCTAGTTAACCTACCGGGTACGACGACTGTGGGTGGCCCTAGAGAGTAGCCTGGGTGCCATTCACGCACGCTTTCCTGTCCCGTCGCCACAATTTCCTGTCCCGCCAAACCAAACAGACTGACTGCGACGATGTCACGGAGAAAGACTCTGCTGTGAACTTCTGCATCATGGCAGACTGTAAGTTATGTCTTCATGCTGTAGTAGACAACCACAGTCCTTACTTCAGATTTCGAAGTTTTAAACTTTACGGCAGGTCTAAAGTAATATCGATCACATAATATTGTACATGTATGTGGTGGACTCAGAATCTTGAAGTCCTAATAGTTTGAATGTCAAATTAAATAACAGGTTTTACAAAATACACAAAATATCATCACAATCCCTAGCCTCGTTACCAAACCTATTATAGCTCCCGAGTCCTACATCCTCTCCGCAAATAGATGTAGGACTCGGGAGCTATAATAGGTTTGGTAACCAGACTACACAATCCCTACCACATTCAGATTGTTTTACAAGGGAAAGATAGTACGAAATTCAATATTTTACATCTATCGTATTGCAGCTGTATCACACACAACTCAACATGCTGTAAACACGCTGTAAACATGATGTTGTTCTGATTTAGCAATTAGACAGGATATGCAAGAAAATGTCAAAGCAGGACACGTTTAAACACTTGATGTCATGCAAGAACGAATGTATAGCAGAGAAACTATTTAATTATGTTTCCAAATGTTTCAAAAAGAGAGAAGAAAGGGCAACTAACAGTAGATGATAGGTAGTATATAGTATTGTTATAATGTATAAATTCCCAGCAATTAGCATTAGAATATAGCATTCCAGTATTCAATATTCATGTTTTGCATACTGCATGTCCTCTTGTGCATTGAGCCCGTCTGGGCAAGAACATGCAATAAAGATTCATCACGATCACGATTAACTAATTCTTTTGTATACAGCACACGAATTTGGCCAGTCGACCCCGCCGTTGTATGAGTACATTCAGGAAATTCTCAACAGGTATCCAGACGGGGGGCAGATTCTGAAGGTAAGAAATGTGTGTGTCTTAACGTTTGCTCGTGTATTCACACAAATGGGTGGGAAAATATATTTATTGAAAGTGGCGTCGGGTGGTGTAGTGGTTAGAACAATCGACTGTGAACCGGGAGACCCGGGTTCGATTCCGAGTCGTACCCGGGACACGCCTGAACATGCGCCCCGACGTTGTGCCCTTGGGAAAGGCACTTTACACGAATTTCCTCACTCCACCCAGGTGTGAATGGGTACCTAACTTCGGTTGGGGAAAGTCGTATTGAGGTCACCTTGTGGCGCCGAATGGCAGCCGCACAGACCCTTGCGACAGTTCCACAAAAATGATTGTGGAACAAATATGTGTATTATTTGTATTATTTGATTGTTGTAATTGTTGTGATTTGTATTGATTATTATGTGATACCCTGCACCAATTCAGCCGTATAAAGGCTGCGACTGCACGGGTACTGTTTGGACAATAAAAACCATTTATTATTATTTAAAATATGGACTCTACCCACGGACCACAAAAGGTCAGACACAGGAAGGTAGGTCCCAGAATCTCTTCGGGCGCCAGCAGGAAGTTGGTCGTGGGAATATGCAAAGATTCATAATTATATTGAATAAAGCACGTATTTCACATAGCTGTAAATATTTCACATAGTTGCGAGTTTTGACAAGACAATGACTTTTGACAAGAATGACGCAATGATGAATATAATAGGACAAGTGCATTTAAGTCACAAAGCCATTGTATAACAGGGATGGGAGTTTCAAAACTTTGAGCCTTTTCCCTGTTTGGAAAATGACACAGACCTGGAACTCTCCTACGTTCCTACTACTAGTAGTTCCGTTGTACATGGACATGGCATATAACATTACAACAATAAAATTATCTTAGATACGAGCTAAAAACTGTATATATTTATATGTATAAGACTGTTGTTAACTCCCATCTTCCAGGAGTTGATCCAGAACGCCGAGGATGCCGGAGCCAGTGAGGTGCGGTTTCTGTACGACCGGACCCAGTACGGCACCCGGACGCTCCACTCTCCCAAACTGGCGCGGTACCAGGGCCCGGCCCTGTGCGCCTACAACGACGCCCGCTTCACCGAGCAGGACTGGAAGAACCTCCAGAAGACGTCCAGGAGCGCGAAGAAGGCCGACCCCATGAAGATAGGACGCTTCGGGCAGGGATTCAACTCCGTGTACCATCTAACAGGTGAGATCCATTTCATTAATCTCCAACCAGATCCCTTTCGGTGGTAAAAAGACAGTATCAAATTGGCCAGGCAGTATCCATTAGCCAGGCAGTATCCACCATTGGCCAGGCAGTATCCATTAGCCAGGCAGTATCCACCATTGGCCAGGCAGTATCCATTGGCCAGTCAGTATCCATTAGCCACCGACGGGTGGGGGTACGTACAAAAAAGGGCCGTATATAAAAAGCTAACGATCATTCTCCCACAACCTCGAGTCTGATTGGAGACTACCATTTCATGGCTGGAGTACCGGGATGTAGTTCCATGGTCTTCATCAATTGAGGCCAAAGGATGTCGAAGAATGAATTGCATTTGCATTGTTAGCAGTAACACCTATCTTATAGAATAACTCAATGCACAGTGAGTCAGTCATAGTTGCACAAATGAAGATGGCAGATCACCGAAACGTCGGCTCTTGTTAAAGAAGTGGTTGTGAATATTAAATGACTCTGGCAGTTAGTAGAATATTCCTCAATCAGTGACTGTTTTTGAAAGATTGAAACTCGTACCTTCAAATTTTCGATGTCGACTGTACATCTTGATCACGGAGTGACCTAGTCTCGCGAGAACACGAGACTAGGTCGAGACTTGTGACTGATGGACCTATTCATCAATGACTTTGCTCTTCAACGTAACTTGTGCTAACGTTATATCTGGTTTCTAGATCTTCCGATGATCCTGAGCGGATATTACGTCGCCATCTCGGATCCGCAGGAGGATATCTTCATCGTAAAAGGCCGAACTCAAGGCGGCCGTAGATGGCACCTACAGAAACATGCGGAGGAGATTCAGAGCCTACAAGACCAGTTCTCTCCCTTCAAGAACCTCTTCGAGTTCGAGGGTGCCGAAGATCCCTTCAAGACGGGATTCTTCAACGGGACCATCTTCAGATTCCCCTTGAGACAGAAGCAGTCAAAAATCTCTGCGACCCTCTATGATGATGGCAAGATTGTGGACTTGTTCGACTCTTTCAAGTCAGACGGCGACATTGTCCTGCTGTTCCTGCATCACGTGCGGTCTGTCAAGCTGATGACCAGAGAAGAGTCGGGTCAAAGAGTCCCAAAGTACTGCGTTTCCATGAGCATCTCCTCTGAACAAGAAGGGGCCTCCAGTTTCCATGCTGCCGTGGAAGAAGCTCTGAAGGTACCAATAGAAGACCGAGACACGGTCGTTAGTACCTGCCGATTCTCAATGACAGTAGGTGATATACCGACCCAAGACTGGCTCGTCACAAGCTACGTGAAGGGCCGGGGGATCTCGGAAGAGGCACAGAAGCTGTCTGCAGAGCTCAGCTTGCTTCCGTGGGTAGGAGTGGCGATGCCGATGGCCGACCACCCGCCTCTGCACAACAACATTGGTGAGAGACTGCTTGTAGTGTCGTTATTATGTCCGTTATCATGTTACTTAAAGAAGTCAAACTTAGTAGTTTTGTAGGAGTTAACAGTGGTTATTTGTGCCTGTTCTTATACCAAATAAACTTCTTCTGAACTTGCAATTAGCCATCGGGAATGCATTTGCTAAAACAAAAACATCGGTAAGAGATTTGGAGATTTCTATCCTGTGGATTGTTGGTCGTGCTTTTGACTGTTACAAATATATAGATACAAAGTCCTTGCCTCCTTCCAAACTTCAGGATTAACAGTTTTTTTACAGATGCTGGCAGAAGGTTGATGATTATGTTTACCGAAGGAAAACATACTGTTTTTGCTACGTTTCCTCTTCTTCTCCAAACATTGACCTCTGACCTGGTCAATGACCTGAACCAGACATCTCTCACCATGGTAACTGGTGTTGGGTTACATAATGTTGCAATTTCATAGTATGGGGGATTTCGACTCCTGTCACCATATCTGTTTGTGAATGAGTAAGAATTACCTTATGCGAAGGTAAACATCATGCATTTGCTTTGCAAATGTTACCTTTCTAGTTTTAATTGCTTTTTTAATTAACGATTTTTGATTGTTTTTTACAGACCCTGGTGGAGGTAGAAAGTTTGCCGGGCGGACGTTCTGCTGCCTGCCGCTGCCTGCAGAACCTGAGCTGTCCACCGGCCTGCCTGTCCACGTGCACGGCTTCTTCGGCGTCAGCGACAACAGGAGGAGTCTGAAGTGGACAGGGACGGACCAGAAGAGCGACTCCGCAGCGAGGTAGGATATCTCGGTATACCTCCGAAGCTCCGTAAAAGGAGACATTGTAACATGTTACTCCTCGCAGGAAGGTAGTGACCAATCTTTTTGTGCTGCTTGTCTTCAATGACCCGTAAGGGTATTTTACGACACGTTACTACTTTTCTCCGCGTCTTTGAAATGTTAGCTAACGGGCGACCCTATATATGTCGATGAATAAGTACCAGTGACTTACCACGTCAAGTAATCCTGACATCTTCCGTGCACTTCATCCATCCACCACGCCCCTGCCTATTACCTATAGATAAGCAGAACCTTTGTGAATATTCGACATTTCGTCAATGTCCACATCGTAACTTACTACAGTGCTGTTGATTTGTGTATTTGTACCGTCTTGAATACGAAAAAAAACATTGTTTCTTTTCCAATGTTCATAGTCTGCTATTTAGCTGTGTATTATTTATCATTGGTATATTCTTCAAACAACACAAGTTGTACGGTAAACACACAACGCCATCACTTAGCAGCCATAAAGCCATAAAGTGTGATTTGAATCGTTTAACAATTATCACATAACTAAAATCTTCCTGGACGTCACTCGCAGACGTATTCGTACTCTCTTATGGCGTTTCTGTTTTTTTCTCCTGTCCAGGTGGAACGAGGTTCTGGTACGGGAGATCCTGCCGTCTGCCTACTGCCGCCTCGTCACGGACGCCACGCACTGCTGTGACAAAGATGCCCTCTACCGGGCGCTCCCGGAGATGCACAGCACGGCTCAGCACTGGCGCGAAGCCCTCAAACCGTTCTTCAACATTGTGCTCAACCAGAAGGTTAGACATTCCACTCTGTCGAACGAACAGATTTAAAAACTCTCCTATCCCCAACCTGGTACACCTGTTGAACGAGTGATTACATGTACATGACGACATGTACTACATATTCTCAAAGTATGGCACAAGGTGCTTATTTTATATGTATATGCACATTAATGAACTGATTCTGACCAGTACATGCTTTTCTAGAACATTTAACCGAAACTAGTGTTTATGATAAGTGAATTTTAAAGTAAATAATTGATGGTGGGTTCAAAACCTTGAATGCAAATTTCAAAAAGTCCTGAGCTGTACTTTGTAAATTCAACAAAATTCAGACTGATACAGAATGTATGTTTACCGGTTGAATGATAAAGATTCATTCATTCCAAAAGGTTGTGTGGACACCGGTACCTGAAAACAGAGGGAGGTGGATCACGCCGAGAGATGCAGTCTTCAACAGGACGTCTGTTCCAACTGCCGTTCTGGAGTACCTGGTCGGTGCGGGACTAGACGTGGTGACGCTGTCTAATTATAAACACGTCATGCAGGCAGTCGACCACACGTTCTCCCGCTCCTCTCTCAAAGAAGTCACCCCAGAGCTGCTGAGAACACCCATGAAGACAACGGGCGTGCAGAACGGTTCCAGAAAGCAGAAACTGGCCTGGCTACAGTACGCCCTCGACGACAAGAAGTATGACGCGATGGAAGGGATCGAACTCCTTCCGTTGGCCGACAAGACCTTCACAACGTTCTCGACAAAAGAAGACAAAACGATCTTCATCGAATCTGAAGAGCATCCCAGGACACTCCTCCCGGGTCTCAGTGGTCGTTTTCTGGACACGGACATCAACAAACCAACCCTACACCATCTGCAGAAGGCTGCGACAGAGGCAGAAGGAAAAGGTACTTACCGAAACATTTCAGATATTGGGTTAATAAATGTATTTAGCAATGCAGCTGGAGAGCCTACTTTCCATGGCAAATATTCTTAGACTACTGATTTATTTCGATTGGCTTTCAGTGAGCAACATCAACCAGGTAAGGCAATTGAATGTTTGGTGTAGTTACTTTTTTCGATGGTGCATGAATCGTGTGGTATGGGTACCTTCTGATTACTACCAATCTTGTGTGTCTTTGACTGTGTTCCTGTTTCTATCCCCAATGACATAGAGATTCTTAAAGTAACAAATCAGAAATGACAAATGGGAACGGGCACTGCCCTCATACAAGCTGCTCTCACTCTTATGTAATATTATTTTGTACCATGTATGTGCAAAAATATGTATATAGATTTTAAGATGATGTACACTGTATTTTTGTTAAACGTTTTGTCTAGCCCTCTTCCCCCATGACCTCAATGAAAAGCAACCTCTAGGCCGACGTGAGCATCTCATGAACAAACAAAGATTCAAACAAACAAAAGGAGAGAAAAAATTCAAGTTTTCTTCTTTCCAGCCCTAACCGGCCAGCCCTGCCTCCAACTGCGTCATCTCACCCCGCAGCTTGTTGCCAGTTCTCTGAGAGACGCACTGCCGCCTGATTGGTTGCAGGTAAGTCATGTGACTTTGCACCCCGACGCGCGTTCGCAGCTTCAGCAGCCCTCAGCGGATTGGTTACCCCAGCTATGGCAGTATCTACAAGCTCACTTCGCCGACGATCTCAGCCCCTTTGTCGGCCTTCCTATCCTCCCCGTAGTCGGGACGAACGCGACTACTCTGGTCCGACTGGAACAACCCTCGACGGTTATCCGCCCCAAATATGGGGAAACGACGGTGCCTGACGTCATCAAGAGCCTTGTCTGTGACGTGGGTGCCACGGTGCTCGAGGACGCCCCGCCTTACCTGAGCCACCCGAAGCTTGAGGAGTTCATCCACCGCTGCACCCCGGCCGGGCTGCTGAGGCTTCTGATTGCCGTCGGGGAGGACAAAGTAATCCCAAAGGTCGACGCGTTGAGCGCCGAAGCTAAAGGCGCGTTACGGGCTTTCTTTTCCAAAGGAGACGATCTCCACGCCAAGGAGCGCAGCCTTCTGGCCAAACTACCCATCTTTGAAGCTGTCGATGACACAAACTTGAAGGCAAGCTACCTGGCAGCCTTGGATCCCGGAGGAACGACGCGACAGATCGCTCCAGACCTGACTACTGACCCCCTCCCTAAAGGTCTATCCTTTCCTACTACCCTCATCGTCACTAAAGACCTTGAATCACAGGCTCTTGGGCGGCTTCTTGGTCTACAAAATTTGAGTACAACAGAGCTTATGGCAGGGATGATAGAGAAGGCTCGCCGCGGCGACTACTCAACAGAACAGACGGACTCTCTCATGCTGTGGGTCCTCAGGAGTCTCCATACTTTACGGTCAAAGGATCCGAGCATCATTGAGAAAATCCAAACTTTGGCATTCGTGACGACCAACAGCAACACCAAAGACAAAGTGGCCCCGACCGAGCTATTCAGCCCTGAGGCGGCGGACTCCGATGTGCTACTGGGCGAACCAGTATTCCCAGGACCACCGTACGCAGACAGGGACATACTGACATCTTTGCTAGTGCTTGGAATGCGACAGAAGGTTTCTGCACAGGACATTCTAGGCAGTGCTAAGAACGTACAGGCCTTCTATGATTCTGGAAAGTTGACCCTGCCCGATGCAAAACGAAAGGCCGCTGCAATCATGTCCGTTCTTGATCACGTTATGCTCACGACTCTCGTCAACGGCGTGCTCCTTAAAACTGCGCTCATGGACGTGAGCTTCTTACCAGTCTGCTCAGAAAGACCCAAGTCCTATCTGCCTGGACTGCAGTGGTATCCCGAGGCAAACAGCACCGCTTTTGTAAGCCCAAGAGATGCCCGAGGCTCGGAGTGTGCAGAGCTCGTCGGCGCGACCATGCCGATTGTTGATGACGGGAGGACATCTGTTGACTTCATCTCTGCCTTCGGATGGGACAAGGGCAGACTGCCGATCGAGAAAGTCGTCGGACAGCTCGAGACGGTATGTCGACATTACAAAGAGTCAACACGCCCTGACAAGCACCGTGTTGTACAGATGTTGACCGAGATCTATCAGTACATTGACGCTAGACTAAAAGCAGGAGAGACAGTTGCCATACAGTTACTGTCTTCCCCAGGTTTCCTTCCATGGATCTGGCAGGGCGACGGTCTGGCAGCGCCGAACGCAGTGGCGCTGACCTCCCAATTCAACATCAACCTTGCACCATACAGATTCATTCTGCCGGAGGAATTCAGTAAATTCAAGCACATGTTCAGTAAGGCTGGCGTCAAGGAGAGCCTTGACCAAACGGACCTGGTGGAAATGTTGTACGAAATAAATCAACAAGAGCCAAAGATGCCGACAGAATTAGAAAGAGATCTGAAGTTATCCGTGGACATCATAGGCTGGTTAGTCCACCACCTTGATCCTAGCATCCTTGAAGAGGTACGGGACAAGATATTGGTGCCCATAGCAACGAAGGACAGCTCTCGTCTGGTGTTGGAACCCGTGAGCGCGTGCACGTACAACGATGAATCTTGGAGCGATGCGCAGGAAATACTAGATGACGACGCGGATGGAGAATTCAAGCTTCTCCACGAACTGATACCGTTAGACACAGCACGACGACTGGAGGTGCCGTCTCTTAGCCAGCGGGTCGTCAATGCCGAGGAATTTGGGTTCGACCAGTGTGGGCAGTACGAGAAAGTCACACAGCGTCTCAAGAACATATTGAACGACTACCCCGAGGGAGCTGGGATCTTCAAAGAACTCATTCAAAACGCGGACGACGCTGGAGCAACGGAAGTGAAGTTCCTTGTCGACTGGCGGAAGAACGAAGACTCCAGGGAGGGTCTGATCGACCAAGGCATGGAGGTGTGCCACGGACCGGCGCTGTGGGCGTACAACAACGCCACGTTCCGCGAGGAGGACTTCAAGAATATCCAGAACCTAGGAGGGCAAACTAAGCTGGAGGCCCTTGAGAAGGTGGGCAGATTCGGGGTCGGCTTCAATTCTGTGTACCATGTCACAGACGTGCCGAGTTTCGTCAGTGGCAGTCGAGTCGTGTTCTTTGACCCACACGCCACGCACCTGTCAAAACACATCAAAGATAAGTCTAAACCAGGAATCGGACTTGACCTGCAGAAGAACAAAAGGCTGGCAAGGTTCAAAAACCAGTTCAAACCGTTCCAGGGTGTCTTTGGGTACAGCAGCAGTTCCCCCTACCACGGAACGCTGTTCAGGCTCCCGTTAAGAACACCACAAGAAGCAGCCGTAAGCGAGATTAGTAAGGTGTCGTACAGCGAGCCTTGCAATGGAAACATGAAAAAGCCTGACAATGAAAACATGAAAAAGCCTAGCAATGAAAACATGGAGAAGTCTGGCGATGAGAACATGAAAAGGCCTTCCAATGAAAACATGGAATCGCTACTCGAAAGCTTCAAGAAAGGCCTGAAACCTCTTCTACTCTTTACCCAGAATGTCAGACAAGTAACGATGTACACCCTGGATGAGTCCGAAGACCCTTCGAGCATGTTGGAAAAGTTCCACGTCTCAAAGTCGCCCGTGGAATATCTGCGTAAAATGCAGATCCAGTCGCCTTCTCACAGTCGCAGATTAACTTACCCGTTCCAAATTCAAAGCAACTGTCTGCTGGCGACGTCGGAATTCATGAAGCGCCAGGGAACTAACAGCACGAAGGAGTGTCCAGAAACATCCATGGTAGTCAAGGTAACCCGCCGAGAGGTGGAGGGCAATGACGTGAGTGAGGAGTGGATCATTTCGTCCTGCATGGGCACGTCGACATCACTGCAGTTAGCTTTGGACGAGAGAGGGAAGATGGCCGGGCTTGTTCCATGCGGTGGCGTGGCAGCGTTGCTGAAGTCAAGTGATGGCAGCAATCAGGACGCCTCCATGAACAGCCGTCCCCCAAACGGAGAGGCGTTCTGTTTCCTGCCCCTGTCTATCCCAACAGGCCTGCCTGTTCACGTGAACGGCAGTTTCGCCGTCGCGTCCAATCGCCGAGGGCTGTGGGAGGAGACGAGCACCGACCGGGACGACCTGAAGGTGCAGTGGAACAAGGCTCTTATGGAGGACGCTGTGTGTAAGGCCTACATCACAATGCTTCTAGACATCAGTGACATGGCAAAGAAAGGGGTGCTACTAACTCCCTATCAGTACTACAGCTTTTGGCCTAACCCCCTTCACATTACTGGCAACACACACTACAGCGTCCTCGTGAAAGCTTTCTACGCTGCCTTGTCATCCAGTGGAACACTTCCGCCTCTGTTTGAGTCTGGGGGACAGTGGTTGAGTTTCACATCGGCAGTATTCCTTGATCCTGAAATGAACTTTAAGTCAGGTGAAAATGTTCCCGCCAAGAAGGCACTACAACAGTGTCTTCCGGACCACACTGTCGTTGAGGTGCCCGAGTGGGCACGGCAAGGATTCGAACAGGCCGGGTGTGCCAAGCTTCTCTCCGAGCACACATACAGAGAGGAGAGGTTCTACCGCAAACTGTTCTTCCCCAGGATACACGAACTGTCTGGAAAAATACGGGATCCCCTGATGCTCCGTATTTTAGGCAGGGAAAACGGAGAATACAATGAAATAATCCGAACCACAGCCTGCATCCCCACCAGCCCAAGAGGGCAAGAACTGTCCCGCCCTGGAGACCTCATACATCCCGATGGAAAACTCTCTGCTATGTTCCTTTCCGAGGATCAGAGGTTTCCACACGGTTCCAAAGACACCTACCTGAAACCTTCCCGTCTGCAGGTGTTAACAGAACTGGGCATGTGTAAGGATGACGCGCCGTGGGATGTCGTCATCGAACGTGCAGAGTCGGTAGCTCCTTTGAACAAGGTCAATCCGAATGCGTCTCGCAAGCGAATCGTCGCCCTGCTTGACTTCATCGTTGGGAAAACGAAGGAGAAAAGAGACAAGAAAGGACAGAAAGGGCAGCAGCAACAGGCAGGAAAACATCTGTCCACCATTCCGTTTCTGCCTGTCATGCAGAAGCCCCGAGAATGGCCCTTTGGCTGGAAAGGGTCTGACTACCCCGCAGACGCCCTGCTTTATGCCGCCGAACTTCAGCCCAGCAAGAACCACGAGATTGCAGGCGTCTCCTGTCCGATAATGTGCAGTAGAATTGTCACAGCAAAGAAGGGGAAACACAGCAGCACCTACACAGTGCCAACCAACCTCAGCAGCTTTCTTGGTCTGGAAGATAAATCCCCTAACCTGTCTGAGACCCTGGCAAACCTTATGGCCATCATCGCCGTTGACATGAAGACTCTCTCGAAGGAAGGTCTGGATTGCACGAAACAATCGTACCTCAAAACATGTCAACACCTACAAAATCTTTGTAAGGGTTCAAAAGACAACGAGAATGAGATTGGTACAAGACTGTACAAGACTCCGTTCATCATGATCATGAGCCAGACGACGAAGAGGTTTCTACTCCCGTCAGACGTGTCCTTTGACTTGAAGTTCACTTGCGCGCCCTACCTGTACCGCGTGCCGGATGAACTGGCCACAGAACTTAGACATCTCCTTTCTGTCTGCAAAGTCAAAACAGCGTTTGAAGCCTGCGACTTCTTACGAGCACTTGACCACCTGAAGGAAGACAGAGGAAACAAGAGGCTAAAATCTCATGAAGTCAACCTAGCGCTGCAACTGTTAAAAGTAGCCAGCGACCAGGAGAAAGGAGACATCCAAAAGCATAGCCTTTGGATCCCGGACGAGACTGGCGTGTTGCGCCGGCCTTCTGATGTATGTTATAATGACTGTGCCTGGATCAAACAGAGGGAATGCATGGTGTTCTGTCATAAGGGCATGACAAGAGACCTGGCTGTGGACAAGTTGGGAGTGAAGCCGGTACGACACAAGTCTCTGGAGGCCTACTCACACAACCTGTCCTATTTTGGCACTGATTTCGGCCAGGTGGAACAGTTGACCAACAGAATCAAAAACTTACTGAATGCTTACCCCTTCGGTAAGGAGATCCTGAAGGAATTGCTGCAAAATGCCGACGACGCCGGAGCAACAGAAATCCACTTCGTGTTCGACAAGCGTCATCACGGCACCCAGTACATCTTCGACGACACCTGGAAGGACCTGCAAGGACCTGCCCTGTGTGTTTACAACAACAGACCTTTCACAGAGGAAGATCTAACCGGCATACAGAACCTCGGAAAGGGCAGCAAGGGGCATGATCCGGTAAAGACCGGAAAGTATGGAGTCGGCTTCAACGCGGTCTATCACCTGACGGACTGCCCGTCCTTCATGACAGGCAGAGACACGCTGTGTGTTTTCGACCCGCAGCTCCGCTTCGTCCCAGGAGCGAGACAGGAGTGCCCGGGACGCATGTTACGGGACATCGACGCCGACCTCAGAGAGCAATACAAGGACGTGTTTGGCTGCTATCTCAAGGACCGGCCCGCGTTCTCGTCTCCAGACAGCACCGTGTTCAGATTCCCTCTACGCACGGCGACCATGGCAGAGGGATCCGAAATCAGCAACGAAGAAGTGACGGAAGAAAAAATTACGGATCTCATAGATACATTTAAAAAGGAGAGCTTTGAGGTGCTCCTGTTCCTCAACAGCGTGGAGAAGATCAAGATCTCCATCATTGAGACAGACGGAACTTCCAGTGAGTTCTATCACGCGGAAGCACTCATTTCGGAGGAGGCAAAGCAAGATCGGCGGAAGTTTGCCGACTACGTGGCCGAATGTGCTCACAGTAAAGAGCCTCTCCACGCAATGCCAACTCACCATGTCACGTACAACTTGGACCTACGTGACAACAGTCAGCACCAGGAGAGCTGGATAGTGCACCAGAGAATCGGATTTGAGGACAAGGACATCCCAAACAGCATCAAGGAGGCCCGCGCGTCAAACGAGTTGGGTCTACTTCCAAGAGGGGGAACAGCTATCTGCCACAGCGGCTGCAAACTCCCTCAAGAGTTCCAGACTCGACCACACCTGTATGGCTTACCCAAACAGCTCGGACCGCACCACGAGTTCTTTGTGTCTACCGGGGTCCCCGAGAAACCAACCCCGCTGCAGTACGCAAAGGTGCTGGAAAAATACTATCTATCATCCAAAGGGGCAGGGTTGGCAGATCTATCAAAGGCTCATCATCAATCAAAGAGTGATCAGAAGTGTTATCATACGGGGCCCAAGCGTGCATTCTGCTTCCTGCCGCTACCCATCGAGACACGGCTCCCGGTCCATGTGAATGGCCATTTCGCCCTAGACGATGCTCGGAGAAACCTGTGGAGAGACGAGAATGGCAGCGGGATGAAGTCGGACTGGAACAAGACGCTGATCAGAGAAGTCATCGCTCCGGCGTACGCCGCAGTGCTGGATGTGAAACGAGCAGCGGAATTTGAGGAAGAACAGAAACCATCGTCAGCGCCAAAGGCACGGGACATCTACAAATCACTGGAGTCATATCACAGTCTCTTTCCGTCCGTCTCAAAGACGACTGGGGGGTGGAAAGACCTGTCGATAGCTTTCTACCAGCACATCGACCGCAAACATCTTCGCCTTTTGCCGGTTTTTCGGTCTACAGCCGATGATTGCAGACCCAATGATGGTGAGCCAGGAAGCAGCAGCCACCACCAGATGACATTGGAATGGCTACCTCCAACTGGAGCTGGAAAAGATGAGGCATTTTTCAACACATTGACGTACAAAGATGCTGGGGGCACAGAGAGCGATAAAAAGCGCAGAAAACAAGTCCTTGAAAACAGCCTCTTGGCCCTAGGTTTCAACCTGCTAGCCAGTCCAACAGGAATTCTTTGCGCCTTCCAGCAAGCTGAAGTTGACGTAAAGGGAGTGAAGCCAGAGTCAGTGGTCGACTTTCTCCAGACGTACAAAGATGACAAACCGCTGTGTCGTATTGGAGCGTCGCTTCCTGCCCCGGTGTCCAGCACAAGTTTCAAAGAACCAGATAACCTTCAAGTGGTTCTTCATTACTGTTTGTCAGCAAAGAAAGCACAGGAAGAAGGCCAGGAGCACATACTAGATGGCCAGCCTGTGTCAGACCCACAAAAGACAAAACAGGAGCATGCACTACATGGCCTCCCTTTGCTCCTGACAGCGGATAACATTATGAGGGTCTTCGACGTCTCATGCCCCGTGTTTGCCACTAAATACGCCGACCTCGTCCCAAGTGCGCCACACTTGTTTGTAGACTTGTCGTGCCTCTCGGACCTACCAAGGCAAGACACTGATAAGTCAGTTCTTCCCTTCAATATCGAAGCTTTGTGTGACCTGTTGCCACGTGAACTGAACGAGAGTGTATTCAGACAAGGGAACACTGTTGAATGGAACCAGTCTCCCCCACAATGTTGGATATATCTTTTTTGGCAATTCCTCGATCAAGAAATGCTAAAGAAGAAGTCAGACCAAGAAACGCCAAAGAAGAAGTCAGACCAAGAAATGCCAAAGAAGAAGTCAGACCAAGAAATGCCAAAGAAGAAGTCAGACCAAGACACTTACCTTTCGACGATCAAAACTTTGTTTGGAAACTGGGCTGTCTTGCCGGCTTGCACACATTCACTGAAGATGGGCCGTCACGGTGACTCAACCTACGATATAAGTAAAATCCCTATGGTGCAGCCAGGGAAACCTTACATGGTCCCACTGTGCAAGGCCCACACTGTGGTGACTTTCGATGTTGGAGCCTCATCTTCACAGCAGATCAAGGTGGCAAAAGCTATGCGCAAGCTACACTGTCTGGAGCTGAACATACATAGTCTCCGTGGACCCCCGGACCGTCAATTCAACGCAAAACCTACACAGTTCGCAAGACGTTTTGTCTCATCTCTCACAAACCACGTAGGGATTCTAAGAGTCCTGACTTCCCTATTCGATGCGCAAAGAGCCACCACGTCAACTCCCATAGACTCCGACGACGCGACGGAACTGTTGAAGTATTTCGAGGAAGAAGTAGACAAGCTCAAAGCTGAGGAAGCGAATTTGGACATGTTGCGATCCTTGCCCTTGTACAAGACAATCCACAAGAAACTCATCAGCCTCACCGACATAAGCCAGTGCCACGTACTGCCTGTGGGAATACCAACAGCCGACATGGACGAGTGGATAAAGCGGTCAGACGCTGTCTTCCTTGAGAAAATCCACAAGCTCGTGCGACTGCACAAAGCGTTGGGATGCTCGGGGATCACAGATGCCGAGGTGTACCAACAGTACATCTTCCCAAACATGGACCACCTGAGTGATGATGCAGTGAAGGTGCACCTTGAGTACCTAAGAAAGATGTTGATTGGGTTGGATACGGTGGGGAAGCATGAACAAACAAAGAAGTCTTTGTTGGCAAGTCTACGATATCTACGCATCATCCCATCGCAAGGAGGCCGAAGGCCCGTAAGTGATTTCTATGACGACGCCCATCCCGTGTTCAGTGTAATGGTCTCAGACGAGAACTTCCTTCCTGAATATTATCGTAAGGATATGTTGAAATGGAAACAGTTCTTAGTCGAAATTGGGCTCATTCACAAGGTAACGAACCAAATGTTCCTGCAGTATGCAAGGGAAGTGGAACACCAGGCCAAAGTAACCAGGAGCGAAGAGAGTCGATTGGCAGAGAAATCTGACGTTTTGGTCAGGCACTTCTTCACCATGGAGAGTGTGCGGGACTTTGACTCGGAAAGAGGTTTCATCGAAGACGTCTCTGGTATCAGGTTCATTGCACCTGTAAAGGCACGAAGTTCCCTGGTGAAGCTGCACAGTCAATATGGAGCCAATGGCGACGTCCTGCCCTTTGTATGCTTCAAGGATTCTGTGGCTGTGCCGGAAGACAGACAAGAACTTTGCTGGACAAGGGCGAATATTCTACCCGATAGTGTGACTCACGAGTTGTACTATAGATATCGAGGAGATACTGAGGCTTTGAGTCGTCGACTTGGCATCCAAAAACTGCCATCAATGGACACCGTTACAGACCACGTCTCCTGCCTTTGCCAGCATTTGGCTCAGCAGAAAGCCAACGAGACGGAAGAGGGAGCAAACTCACTCTCAGCCTGCAGAGCTCTTTGGAAAGTGATGTTGCAAGTCTACGCATTCCTTTCAGTGAAACCTTCTTATGGCGATTGGTTGAAGGAAAAATTAGGGAACGTACCCTGCATGGTGGTTGAAGAGGGCAGAAGACTTGTTCAACCAGAGCAAGTTGCCATCAATCTCGACCAAGGAGATGAGATTCGGCCATACCTGTATGGTATGCCCATAGAGCTTGGGCGATACCACAAGCTTTTTGTCTCAATAGGGGCTGCAGAAAAGCCAACGCCAATGCAATACGCAAAGATTCTGGAAGCGCTGTATGTCTCATCTAGAGGCGAGCCCCTGAACCCCAACGAGAAGAAAGCAACCTACAGCGCCCTTTTTGGAATGTTCCGTTGCCTGAGGTCTGAGTCGTCCATTCAGTTCGGGCAAGGACAACCCTCCAAAACTCGAGAAGTGGAAGATTCCTTTCACAAGTTACAGTGTCTGTACCTCCCCAGTCGCGAGAGCAGGCTGCTCAAATCTACAGACCTTGTATTCGACGATACCCCGCAGTTCACAGACAGAGTCAAGGGCGGCTTCAACTACCCTATCTTGGTTCGCTTGGAGCATTGTCGCTTGTTTGCTGATGAGCACGAGCTGATCAGTCGACTGCCATCTCATCTCAGGCCCAAGAATCTTAGCTCTCTCGTACAGGAACAACTTTGTGACGAAGACGAGCAAATGTCTTGTGTGGCGGGCACCAATTGCGTACTGGAGTCAAGACTAGCGTCGCTGTTCTTGAGCACCTACTTTCGACATGCCATAGTTCGTCTAGCGAAGCATGCCTTCGAAAGATGCGACGACAAGAAGGTCATCACTGCTGTAGAAAAGTTTGTGTCGTCCGTCACAGTCTGCTGCAAACGTGAACTGGTCACTCGCCTTGTGTACAAGGAATCACAGGAGGGAATTGAAGGCAGCGAGGGCACGTCTTACTGTTTCATCAAAGACAGCACCCTCTACGTGGCACATACAGACGCAGGGTCTGAAGAGTACGAGTCTTTTCTGTGTGATCTAACGGAGGTCATCAACGATGGTCTTGGGCGTCCACTCGTAAACCTTGTGCACCTCGTGATGGTCTTGAATGTGAAAGATCCGTCTGATATTCCCAAGAAACTCGATAGGGCAAAGATAAAGCGTTACACTTCGGGTGAGCAAGATGACTCTCCTCTACCAACCCTCGGCACCCCCATTCCGGAAATCTATCACCACCTCCTGACGAGCAACCCAGCTCACTTCTTCACGCCCGGCGACTATGTGGGGTTTGAGGTGTACGATCCAGACTTAGAGTCGGATTCGGAGGAGGAGGAGGATGGATACACCATGACGTTTCTGTACGCACAAGTCATCAAAGAAGCGCCGACAGACACTGAACTCAAGTTCGGTCTGGGCAGGGAGTATGTCATAGATGTCGGATACACAAAAACAGTGAGTGCGGCGGACCTCTACAAGTTTTGCCGCCCCAATGTACCGGGGCCGCTCGTTCCGTACGAAGGAGAGACGGACCAAGAGGATACCCCGGCAGCCAAACTACCTCAGAGTCTCGAAGACGCGACGGAAGAGGTCAGCAGCATCTTGGAGGAAGCGTGGAAGCTGCCAGAAGCGGAGAGAAAGAAGGTCGTGAGGCGCCTCTATCTCCAATGGCACCCGGACAAGAACCCCGACAACGTGGAGTTGGCTACTGAGGTGACCAAACATATCCTGGCCGAAATCAGCAGGCTTGAGAAGGGCCTTCCTAGGAGGACGAGAGGAGGGGCTGGGTCTACTGACGACTTCGATTTCGGAGGCAGCAGCTTCAGTAGTTCCTTCAACAGGTGGGACTTTAAGATAGCTTGTTAGTATAGGAACACAGATAAAACTTCTTTGGTACCCTTTCAATTCGTCTTAATATTGCATATAAGCACACGATGTCCAGAGACAGCTTATTAATGTTAGGCTGATAACACAGGCCACCTTCGTACTTAGAATGACATGTACATCATACTGAGAAATATGATACATAGGATAGAAGGAATAATAATAATCGGTTAAAATCAAATGAAATCACCAGATGGAACGCCTACGCCGGGTACCACCGCCACCAGAGGGAGCAGTTTCACGAGCGGTACCGGGCCGGGGACTTCAGCGGCTGGCGGACCGGCTCGGGCCAGTGGGTCCCGCCTAGATCGGACGGAGGTTTGTTTGTTTGTTTTGTTTACCGAAGGAAATATATTGTTTTTACCTCAGTTTCTTCCTCTTCTTCTTCTCCAAACAGTGACCTCTGACCTGACCAATGACATGATTTGTTGACGTCTGTCACCATGGTGGCTGGTGTTGGGTTACATAAAGAAGTAGGTGATTCTTGAGATTTTGTTTAAGACTAATTATTGATGTGAAACCTTTAAGGTGGGGAGGGAGGTGGCATCCCCAACCCACGTGAGGCGGCCCGCTGGCATCGCCAGGCTGCAGCAGACCTACAAGCCGCTAGGGGCAACTTGAACGGTCCCGACGCCTCCTACGAGTGGACGTGCCTAATGTGTCACCAGGCGGCAGAGAAAGCTCTCAAAGCTGTGCAACTGGGAAAGTTTGGCAGGTAGGTGCTTTAGGTGCCTTTTTTTACCTCCATTAACAAACATATCTATGTCTATGTGACTTCTGTACTGGTGTCTCATACACCCACATGGGCTGGGAGACAACGTCGCAAGACACAATAACAAAAAAATACATTCATTCCTTCACTCACTCACTCACTCACTCACTCACTCACTCACTCACTCACTCACTTACTCACTCACTCACTCATTCACTCATACACTCATCTCACTCACTCACTCACTCACTCACTCACTCACTCACTCACTCACTCATTCATTCATTCATTCATTTGTACACGTATGTAGCTAGTCTTCCTGGAGTTAGACATACATCATACAAACTACATTAGAATTGACATACAATTTAACGCATTTTAAAACTTAACGGTCAGTGCGCCTACCAACTATCTACGTATTAATATTATGTGCTCTATCAACTCCTGCTGTTTGTACCTCATGTACCGCAAGCTATTCCATCCTGTTAAAAGTAAATCAAAAACGTTTGATCCAACACAACTCAGTTCTCTAACCTAGAACTTTCGACCAGTCAATCTGGTCTTCCTCAGTAGACTGACCCAGTGAAGCTTGTCACGTGGCTTCTTTGAAGTGTGACGTCAACACTGGGTAAAATGTATCTGGTAGACGATGTCGGCCCCCGTCACGGATGAGTGAAGTGTGATGGCAATGATGTAAATAGCCTCTTTCACCCCTCTCAGGACGTAGTCTTGTTCAGTGTCCAACATTCTTACAGTGTCCGGTGAAACAAAATGTCCAGGTGACTCTATGTGGTTAACTTTAAACATGTAACTGCTAACTACCAACACAGATGAAGTTACTGGAGAATTCTTTCAGCAGTGACAAGTTTTTGAAGGGTAAGAGTGCTAACATCCAAATTTTCGATGACTATCAGTCCATCTTGTCAACACAGATGGATTTTAAATTTACGCTACTATTCCATACTGCTACGACAGGTACGACATGATCCACCAGATAGGCGGCATGGGGAGGGCGCTGGAGGCCAGCTGCGGGGGTAAACTGGCCGGTGTCGGCGATGCCGCCATGGAGCTGTCGTCCCTCGGGTCGCACCTCGGGTGTGATGACGTGTACCTGCGGGCCCGCTACCCCAACCTCCACCCGGCACCGAGGGTTCCTCACGACGCGTTCACCCGTCAGCACGCAGAAACCGCCGTCCGCCTGGCGCAGACTATACTGGACAGGACGGAGGACGCACTAAACTAGCAAGCCTGCTCTCTGAACATGGCACAGGAAGTATGGAACCAACAAACCTATTCTCCTAGCAGATGTTTAGGATTATTCTTTGTTTTTGTTTTTAGGCATTTTTATCTAGCTTTTTTTTGTACTAGAATTTTTGGCAAAAGTTGTCATAGACAAAGCAATATTTGTTTGTAATAGCAAATAGATCATTACTTTGACCAGTAAGACTCTTTTTTCTTAGACCTTAGTAGAACTTCATCAGCTCCGACGTACTTAGATGCCATAGACGAGCGGCCAACTTCGTAGATTTTGGTGTGGAATTCAAAATGTTGGATGTAAAATCCCACTGGTTGTTGAAAGAAGACCCTTCTTGTACACAGAAATTGGTGCCGAGATTTTGCAGTATGTATATTAGGTACAGTACTGTAGCAGTCTGCCTTCAGTAGGGGAGGTTAAAAGATTATGAAGCAAGTTTAAACTGTAATTTCCAACACTACAAAATGGAATCACCCAAATTTTCGACTGTACAACTCCAGTCTTTGTCAAGGAATGAGCGATCCACCGCTTCCGTGACGTCACGCAGATAACACACGTGACTCCGTGAGCAGTGGATCATAAGTTGCAGAAAGTCTGTGGCGCCCCCCGTCTCTGTTGAGGTGAGTCCAATTTCTTGTGTTGGAAAATGCAGTTTAAACTTGCTTCATAATGATTTCTACTAACACAGATGAACTTTAAAGTTGAGGTTAAAAGATGTTTCATTTGAATAAGTGACAGGACAGTTGACAGGCATTTCACTTTATTACCTTTATACCAATTAAGACAAAATTATTACTATACAAACCACCATTTGAAATATGAGAACATATTGAATGTAGAGGATTCATCATTAATATACGATCCAAGTATAGCAGATACAAAAAAGTACAAACCAAGTAAAAATGTATACAAGACAATAACTAAGACGGTGTGGTAAGTTTACAATGTCAAAAAATGGCAAAAGATGCCCTAAAAAAGAATACAAATATTGTGCTGTTAACCTTCTCCCTGCTGCCTAGCTCCATAACCAAAAGAGTACGAAAACGTCTACTAAAGTGTTAATGTTACAGTTTATAAGCCGAGACTAACTAAGCTCAGTTTTTGTTAAATAGCCTTTGATGATAATCATCAGTGACAGTTCTATACTTTACCATTTTTCTGTATACAATTTCTTACACACTATCATCAGTTTCCGGAGCCTTCCTCAGATTCAGTTTCAGTCAGTTATACAGACACAATTTACAAGTATAAAAAAAACAGCTAAAACGGCAGTAACAACAATAATAATGTTTGACGTATGAACAGTACTTATACTAACATCTTAAAACAATGATTTTCCTCGCACATCATCAATACATTCAAATGAATCAACACTTTGAAACACATAGTTATTCTTCATTGATTAACACAGTAGTTACATGTACATTATTACATTCAGACCGGTATTCTGAATGTTGTATGACTCATCACTATAAGCAATGGTGAAAACACCCTCTTTCCACTAAATTTTCTTAACTCGAGCAACCAAAGGTTTGACAGATAATTCAATGGATTTCATAGATAAAAAACGACTTTTTTTGAGTGAATAAAGTTTTCAAAGATCACTCAACGAATTTCACAAAGTCAAAGAAGACAATTTCCTTACTTGAGCAACCAAAGGTTTGACAGATTTATCAATGGATTTCATACATAATGACCAAATTGTCATAACTGGTGGAGGGACCAGAAATTTGACATATACTTCAATGGATTTCATAGATAAAGAACAACGTTTTTTTTTTTTTTGGAGTGAACTAAGTTTTTAAAGATCACTCAACGAATTTTACAAACAAGAAAATTTCCTTACTTGAGCAACCAAAGGCTTGACAGATGTATCAATGGATTTCATTCATAAAGAACAAATTGTCGTAACTGGAGCAATCAGAAATTTGACAGATACCTCAATGGATTTCAAAGATAAAGGACAATTTTTTCAAGTGAACACAGTTTTGAAAGATCGCTTAACGCAGTTCACAAAGGACAGAATTTCCCTACTTGACTAACCAAAGGTTTTACAGATGAATTCACACAGGAAAACATGTTCTTAACTAGAGCGAACAAGAATTTGACAGAAATCAAAGACAAAGAGTAAATTTTCTCAACTTGAGTGAACAAAGATGTCACAGATCACTCCGTCGATTTTTTATATTAAGATCTATCATAGATTTGACAGAACCCTCATTAGATTCCAAAGACAAAGCAAATTGCCTTTGTGAAACACATTTTCTTCATATTACATTGCACATAAAACAGTCCGAATCACAACATATATTTACAACATACATAATATGAAGAAAGAAACATTAAAATACCCATAGCTACAACATACTATAGCTGTTTTGTCTTTCTGTACATATGATCAGTAGGATATACGCGACCACTAAAATGTTTGGTCATTTTCCAAAATACATCATATTGAGTGCAGCAAACTCAGCTACAGCCCTACCTTTTGCTTTCAAGAGGGCAAAAAGCTTGCAGAAAGACTCCACAAGGGATCACATGTGGTGCGTACAAAAGTGTTCCTCCAGTTCACAGCTCAAAAGCTTACATTAGTCTGGGCTTTTGGGAAAACATTAATGCCAAGACATATTCTCTCGTCTTTTCAACTCAATCTCAGTTCTTTGTGCCCCGTTTCTCAAAATATGTACATTTCAGATAATAAAAAAAGAATGGTATCAACAACTACTTGTTATGATATGACAATGACTTAGCACTAAGTGTAGGTAAGGTGTCGGTAAATTTCAACCAGTGCAGCTATGCAGACAAATGTTACATTGAGTCAGTTCCGCCATATTGTTCAAATGTGAAACTCACAACATTGTGAGGCGTCAGTCCAGTATATACAAACTTAGGTAGAGTAATTCACTGATCTGCATATTTCCTCAGGTATGTAGTATTTGAAAAGGTCTATAATTTTGGTATCAGGCAGTCAAGTCAGTATTCAAAGTATCCTTAGTGGGATATTATGACCTGATACACTTTTTACCAATTTATCGTACTAAGTAAGACAATTGTAACGGGTCTCCATGTTTTACAGAACGGCATCTATATATGTACATAAGATGAGAGAAAATAAGTATAGTTTGGTTCTCCAACGTCCTAAGACTGTCTCGTGCCTGCAAGGGTGTTAGAGATGAACCGTGGTCGTTGGTATTCGCAAGTTTGCCGTTCTGCAAAAGGGTGTCTGTTATTGTGCTTACAGTTACTGTAGTTGTATCCAGAACCATGCTTTATTCAGGACCATGTCCAGGCACTGTTCTGGATAGACCACGCGTATCCAGAACCGTGCCTGGTGCAAATCGACGTTCTTGGATACGCAGAGACTGTCCAAAACAGTGCTTGATCCTAACCCTAACCCCATTCAGGCATAGAAATAGATAGGTACGGTTCTGGATACAATAGGCTATCCAGAAGCGTGCTTGATCCTAACCCTAACCCTTTCAGGCATAGGAAAAAAAGACTCTGGATACAATAGACTATTCAGAACCGTGCTTGATCTTAACCCTAACCCTTTCAGACATAAAACTAGATAAGCACGGTTCTGGATACAATAGAGACTATCCAGAGCAGTGCTTAATCCTAACCTTAACCCATTCAGGAACGGCACGACGACAGGCATTGAACTAGATACTAGGCATGGTTCTGGATACTGGATACATTGTAATAGACAATAAACAGAACAGTCACTGAAACTAACCCTAACCCATTCAGTCACAAAACTAGATAAGCATGGTTCTGGATACAACAGACTATAATAGACAATAGACAGAATCGTGCTTGATCCTGACCCCTTCAGGCATAAAACTATAGCTATACATCATGAAAAATTTAAACTGTTCTCTAACTCATGAATTTTACTCACCGGAATTTTCGACTGAATCACTCAGGCTTCCTCAGCTATCTGACCCAACCAGGACGGGGGGCGATATCGACTTTAGACAACCTTTGACCCTTTGCTGACGTCGCACGTGGGAAAAATCACGTGTCCACAGCATTTGGGTCAGATAGCTGAGGAAGACTGAGTGATTCAGTCGAAAATTCCGGTGAGTAAAATTTATGAGTTGGAGAACCGTTTAGATTTTTCATAATGTAATTTACCAACTCAAGATGAACTTTCATGCTGATATAGCTATACATATACATAGATAACCACGGTTCTGAACACAACATAATCACACCCTGTTGGACCGCGTGACTGCTCGGATGGACGACTGGAAGTTCATGCTGTTCAGGTCGTCCCGTTTGGACGTGCACTTCGCCAGCTTGCTGAAGGCCCGCCGGAACTTCACGGACCTGTGAAAAATATAAAAAAATGTTTAAAGCATACGCCGATGAAGCTTAGACATGGTAATGAAACTGTGACTCAAGAAACTAAAAATATTTCTTCGTGAATATTTAAACTTTAAATTAAAACACAAATCGACAGGACGGCAAACAGAATCACCTTAAAATTTGTATCCAGCCAGAACCGTGCCTATCTGGTTCTGTGCCTGAATGTGTTAGGGTTAGGATGTGTGTGTGTGTGTGTTTGTTTGTTTGTGTGTGTGTGTGTGTGTGTGTGTGCCTCTGTCTGTGTGTGTGTGTGCGTGTGTGTGTGTGTGTGTGTGTGCGTGTGTGTGTGTGTGCGAGTGTGCCTGTGTGCCTCTCTCTCTCTCTCTCTGTGCTTGTGTGTGTGTGTGTGTGTGTGTGTGTGTGTGTGTCTATCTGTCAGTGTGTGTGTGTGCGCGCGCGTGTGTGCCTGTGTGTGTGAGTGTGCCTGTGTGCCTCTCTCTCTCTCTCTCTCTCTGTGTGTGTGTGTGTGCACTGCGAGTGTGCCTGTGTGCCTGTGTGTGTGTGTGTGTGTGTCTGTCTGTCTGTCTGTGTGTGTCTGTCTCTGTGTGTGTGAACATGACCCAGTGAGTTATTACCACACAACTTGCACTACGTATTTACAGCTATTTACTTTATTGCTATATAAGGTAATATATGAGACACTAACATGGCGTTGTAGAGCACGGGGTTGCAGGCGCTGTTGATGTAGATCGGCAGGCGGCAGAACAGCACCACCCACTTGTCGTAGTTGGGCGGGTCGATGAACGAGTTGCACACGACCAGGACGCGATACGGCATCCACAGGACGGCGAACAGGACCACGACACACGCCAACATCTTCACAACCTGGGGAAGACAGATATAACAAAATTTAAATCACGAATTCTTCACAGAACATTGCCACGACACACGCCAACATCTTCACAACCTGGAGGACAGAAGGTAACAAACGTTTCAAAGCATATGTCGATGAAGGTTAATAGACACCCAGGTAATGGAACTGTTACACAAGAAAAATGGACTAAAACATGTATATACATGTCTTATAATATACACTTTTTTATTGGTTTTAATGAACTTGGTGATTGTCAACTTCGGCGCAATTCAGCTATTGCTGCAAGGCCGATTTGTTCCTTGTGTATCAATAAACCATTTACTACTACATGTACTACTACTTAATACTACGATAATGAAAGTTATACATCATGGGTATGGATCTGTTACACAAGAAAACTGGACTTTTCAAAATCAAAAATTTCTCTAGGACGGCGAACAGAACCACGAGACACGCCAACATCTTCACAACCTGCAGAAGACAAAATGTAAACGACGTTGAGGCATGAATCCACAGTGCAGCAAATGGAACCATGTTTGTATCCAGAACAGTGCCTATTTAGTTCTACATGTATGCCCGAGTGGGTTAGGGTTAGGGGTAGGATCAGGCACGGTTCTGGACAAAGACTGGAGTTGTACAGTCGAAAATTTGCGTGAGTCCAATTTCTTTAATTGGCCATTGCAGTTCAAACTCGTTTCATAATGACTTCTACAAACACAGATGAACTTTCAAGATATTATAAAGCAAGTTTGAGTTTTTTTCACGCGGTGTCAATGAGGCCATCTACTTCAGGGCATTGCAACCATCCCGCAGCAAAGACGGGGGGCGCCACAGACTTCCTGCCACCTATGATTCAGACTGCTCACCGAGTCACGTGTGTCATTTGCATAACATGACGTCACAGGTGCGGTGGATTCCCAACTCTTTGACCAAGACTGGAGTTACACAGTCAAAAACTTGGGTACGTCCAACTTTTTTTTCTGTGTTGGAAATTTGCATTTCAAACTTTAGCTTCATAAGGCCGCAGATTGTGTAAAATGCCATCCCTAAATGGCGGCAGACGTGGGGAATTGATTTGTGCAAGTTCCGCGGAACAGACACAGTCGGTAGATTGGGGTCCCGACCTCGACGCATTAACGCGAGGGCGTTAAAAGTCAGTTAACCAGCTGATGATGGGCAGTTGGCCAATTCTGCCACGAATGTTTTCCGCAGGTACGTATGAAGCCCGCACTGAAAGCAGCCTTGACCATCTTACCTTTAAAAAAAGGGCAATAATATTGTCCGTCAATTGTTGTCAAATATAACACTTGCTAGCCTTCACCATGCTTTAGAAGGGTCTTAAAAGAGTAGAAATTGGCCAGATAGGCAGATAACATGCCAGGGGAGTTGAAATTTCATCTTTTCCTTCAACACACTTAAAAGTAAATCACTTCAAATTTTCAGTCTTCATTAGAAGTAGTGAAGTTGATTCAATGACTCTGGTGAAAGAGCTCCCAGAAATTTGAGGTGGACTACTTTTGCATATCAAATTTTAAAATCATGGAATAAACCAACATAGATGAGCTTTCAAGCAACTTTTGGTACTCAACATGATTTAGCCCATGGTTTTCAAGTCTAAAGGTCCTTGGGAGGTCACGTAATTACAAACTTTTTTATTACAAAATTGGTTTTTATTCCCACATGAGAACTTTATTCCCACATGAGGACTTCATTCTTACATGAGGACCCACCTCGGCAAATGATGACCTGTATGCCTACTCATCTGTCGCAGCGACAGGAGATTTCAACAACAACAATAACAACAAAAACAACAATAAAACAAAGACTGTAAATTTGACATGCAACAGCTACTAAATTCAGGCAAACTTTCCTCATTGTGACTTCCGGGACGGAAGTATTGTTCTGGGTGGCGCAAATCCATGCCAGTTTGTATGTTTCGATTCTCTGATTTGTTGCCAATACAGTACAAACAGATACGTTATTGTACTGTATTGTTGTACTCCATTTATGAACCTTGCTGTACGCAATGATGGCTTAAACTTTTGGGGACCGACTGATTTCTCATTTAGATGACGGGATGTGTCCCGAAATTGGTCTTCCTTTTATCCAATCAGCTGCGATCTAGGTTTAACCACCTGTAATGGCCCGGTGCTTAAAGCTTCCTTGAGGAGGCGACCTGACGTCATCACGCCAGCGTAATCACTTCTCACTTCGGCATGTGAAAGCCACGTGAAGCCGGTAAGTGCCTCGAGTGGGCAGAAACGACGTCTCTCTCTCTCTTGGGATGTTCTGTGCTTCTGTGGAGGGCTTTTAGTAGCTGAACATTCAGGCCGCGAAAGTCATGAATTACTAGTATAACTTGTCCCACATGTAGGCTGTGTGTAACGTGATTTCTGCTCTCAAAATACAATTTTAACACTTTGCGCCTTGTATTTTACGAAACTTATATAAGCTATAAGCTTATATAACGTATATAGGTTACTAGTATACACTTAAAAGTTCTGTCGGTGAAGGTTAGACTTTCAGGCAATAGGATACGGGACACGGGAAGGTCGCTGACGAAAGGTAGGGGATGCTGCGTGAAACGTCTGACGGTTTTCAAAATCTATCCAGTTAGTTGTTACTTTGGCATGATAAAAGTGCTCCCCCCCTCTCTCTATTCTGTCTGTGTCTCTAGGTGTGTGTGTCTGTTTGTCGGTGTGTGTATGCCTCTGTGTGTGTGTCTGTCTGTTTGTGTGTGTGTCTGTCTGTGTGTGTGTGTGTGTGCGTGCGCGCGTGCGTGTGTGTGTGGGTGCGCGCGCGCGTGTGTGTGTGCGTGTGTGTGTGTGTGCGTGTGTGTGTGTGTGTGTGTGTGCGTGCGTGTGTATGTGCGCGCGTGTGTGTGTGTGTGTGTGTGTGTATGTGCGTGCGTGTGTATGTGCGCGCGCGCGTGTGTGTGTGTGTGTGTGCGTGCGTGCGTGCGTGTGTATGTACATGACCCAGTGATTCATTACCACACAAGTTGCACTACTAGTACTTCTTTACAGCTATTCATCTATTTACTTTATTGCTATACAGTGTATTAGGTAAAATATGAAGGCAGGTAGATAGCTTAGGCCGACACATGTCACGAACTGTGTGTGAGCCGTACGGCCCCGTGTACGTCTGAACGTGATAAAGACCAAAGTTCATGACTGGCTGTGTTTATGAGGTGCCCACAGGTTACCACATGCTGAGCAGTTTCGTGTGATAAATGCCACCAGGGGACTTTGCACTGGCACGCACAGGTTTAGGCTTCGGCTTATTATGGCTTCACCACAAAGTGCTGAAGACATATTGTGTTCTCTCATGATTCTTTTTCTTCTTCTTCTGCCATTTCTTTAAATGGATTCATCTCTGCCGTTTTGGGGCCAAATAACATGAAATTTGGCATGAAGGTGAAGCCATCTGCTGCATTTGCTTCCGAGCAAATGCCGGTCTTTCTAGTTTTTGGTGTGTTTTTTAGCTCTGTTTTTTTTTTTGCTTTTTCGTCTGGCTTCTTTGTATTGGTATTTTTACCGCCAGACCAACAAGTGGCAAATGGAGACTGCCTGGCCAATTTGATACAGCCTTTGCAGCCAATGTGATTAAATCAAGAAAGTAGGGCATTATTTCTTTGTGAGACTTTAAAGCACGAATCGTATTCGTATCCGGCCAGAACCGTGCCTATCTTTGTATGTGTTTGTGTGTGTGTTTGTGTGTGTGAGTGTGTGTGTGTGTGTGTGTGTGTGTGTGTGTTTGTGTGTGTTTGTGTGTGTGTGTTTGTTTGTGTTTGTGTGTGTGTGTATGTGTGTGTGTGAGTGTGTGCGAAGTATGATTAACTTTGCCCATTATTAGGTCTATAATGTCTGCAGTGGAGTCAATGCACATGGCATTGGCGTGAACGAACTGTCTAATATGACTAGCAATGCTTCGGCCTATTTTCGGCGTGTTTTGGGCGTTTTGATATCTTTTTGTACTGGTATCTTGTTTTTTTTTACGCCATACCAACCGTGTGGCAAATGGGAATTGTCTGGAAAATGGATACAGCCTGGCCGATTTGATACTGTCTTTGCAGCCAGCGAAATATCTGCTTGGACATTATCTTTAGCATTTGGTGTATGATGTCTGCAGTTGATTCAATGACAATGGTGTAAACAAAATGTCCAAAGCACAAGGTTTACATTTTTCACAACAGTGATCCATTTTTGATAAACTCTGAAATGACAGTGAGGCAAAGTTGAATTTATTCATCATATATATATAGTTAGTTTCATTTTGTATGTATGTATCTGTTAACTATGTCTGTTCTTCATGTTTTGTTGTGACCTGTCCTTGGCCCAGTGTGACAAAATGTGCAATTAACGTCGTTATTCATTCATTAATTCGAGAGAATATTAGGTATGATATTGGAAAATTTACGTATGACACGCCCTCAGTTAGATTGGATAAATTCCCTTGGAGTGTGGTAACAATACTGACACGACCTTTTCTGTAACCTTCCTGTACATACACGATGAGTTGTATAGAGAGCCATGTATTGTATATCCAGATCCATGTTCAGGCACGGTTCTGGATAGTCCACGCGTATCCAGAGCCATGTTTTATCCAGAACCATGTTCAGGCACGGTTCTGGATAGTCCACGCGTATCCAGAGCCATGCTTTATCCAGAACCATGTTCAGGCACGGTTCTGGATAGTCCGTGCGTATCCAGAACCGTGCCTGGGTTATGCTTAGGCCACATTTCCAAACCGGGGCCCGGCCGGGCTGTTTGTATGAACGAAAAATTAACAATTCATATCAAGAATATACAGACATAATGCCCATGATTGTTATTAAAACGTTTCTGTGTTTTGTCGTCTTTTATATCGTACTTTTCGTTCCCAAAACTGCCCGGCCGGGCCCCGTGTGGGAATTGCGACCTCAGCATAAAAATACGTTACTGTATTTAAGTAGACTATCCAGAGCCGTGTCTGAGCCTAACCCTAACCTATTTACTATAGTGCTAGCTAGGCACGGTTCTGGATACAATACAATGCGCACCTTTAATTTGCAGTATATACCCTACCGTTCCAGACAAGCTAAATTATGGGGAAGTGTCGAAGTTCAAGCAACAAGGGAGCGTTCCCTCGTCTCTGGTAGCGGAGCGGTTTCATGTGTAAACTTGTGTTGAGGTTTGATAGATGAGCGACACCCTCATAACGACTCGCGCCAAAAACGCGCGGAGGCACGGAGCGGCTATTAGCGATAATTACGTCGCCACTCACATCAAGGCAGACCCTCAAGCAGCTGTGATTTAATTCCTGTAGGGCCACCCCAAGTCATTTTTATGGATGACTTCCTCTGAAGACATTAAATCTAATGCGAGAGAGCGAAAAAAAACAAGAATGGCCCAAAAAAGCAAGATGCTCAGAGTTGAAATATACTAAGGGACGACAACTGTTAGGACACAACTTGAATGAGAGAACACAGTTTAACAACCAACAAGTATTTCAGTCGTCATGAAAACAGCAATAAGTCAGTGGAACAGCAGTTGTCGTCATGCCTGTTCCTTTCTTTAGTAACATCCCACTCACATTCCCTTATCCCACTTATATCCAACAGGAAGCAGAATTTCCTTTTTTTTTCCTGCGGAACACAAGAATTGTTGTTCTGCACAAACAACACCATCCATATAGAACTGTATAGGTACGATTTGGAGGTATTTCTCGCGCAACGCATCACACCGCAACGAAATGCAACAAATGCGGAAGTAACTATGCCACTGCAGGGCCAAAAAAATTGGGGTCTATAATCTAATTAAGACATGAAATTATTGAAATATATTGTGCCAGGAATGCCAGCAGGACAAGGGTTAATGGGAACAGGCAAAAATCAATGCGCGCGCGGCGTCATCCATAAATATTAATTGGCGTGGCCTAACACTTCGTAAGCGTTATGCGCGCAATGTTCCCTTTGATAAACCTCCCTTTGCCGTGCATTAGATATGGTAGCGCCCGTACATCAATATATACGGTCGGCTGGAATTATGGAGTTGCTTAATTGAAATGTTTCGCCGCCTTTCCGTGCAAACAGATCAAAGGTCGCTAATGTATTCGGTCACTTCAGAACGTAATGGTTCCATGTGATAACGCGAGTTAGGCTAGGTGTGTCCTTGGGAAAGGCACTTCAAACGGCTTTCCTAACTCCTTTCAAGTGCAAAATGGGTCATCATATCTTCATTGCCTCAGAATTTGTCATTACTGTAACTTAAATGAGATTGAAGACGAGACTCATTTTATTATGGACTGTACTCTATATAATCTAATCTATCTAATCTATAATAATGAAAGCTTATTTCCCTAGTTTTAGAATTTTAGATAGAAAAGAAAAATTCACATTCCTCATGAAACTATAAGCTGTTCTTAAATTTACAACTGTTTTTTAAGAAGCGAGAAGAAGCAGAACCTGTACATGTGTAGTTTACTAAAGATATATTTTTAGTCTACCTTCGCTATTTACCATGACCTGTACTTAGTTCGAATGAGACAAAATGTACAATAACGGTCTTTCATTCATTTAGTGCTTAGCACTGAGACAGACCGTCAGTATCTTCTACAGTCTATTTTTCTCAAAGAGGTTACCAGACCTCGGTTGGTGACGTAAAATGTTGTGGAAGGAGCTATATAAAGGGGCTGGGCTCTGCCTTCCAATACACAGTGAATTAACAACCCACTGCACCTAGGACCTTAAAATGGCTATGGGACCTTTTACCTCACCCTTTTATAGCCCTGCAGTTTCAGAACAAGCCGCTAGGGGGCCCAATCTCCTGTCACTTGTTCCCCAGCACAAGAGCTACCTACCATCCAAATTTCGTCACCCTAGCATATCTAGATCATATCAAAACCGGAAATTCCGCTGCAGTACCATAACAAGCCGCCAGGGGGCCCAAAATCTAATCATGTCCAGGACTCACCAGGACCTACCCACCTACCAAGTATCCAGACAATCCATTTAAGCCTTCTTAAGTTATGGTGTCTACAGACGGACGGACACACACACACACACACAGACACACACACACACACACACACACACACACACACACATACACGAAAGCCTCTAAAATCATAACCTTCTTGGCGAAGGTAATTAACAGCCCGCTGCCCCTATCACCTCAAAATGGCTATGGGACCTTTTACCTTACCCTTCACCGAGGCAAGGCTAGTTCGATCAAATGTTGCTTGTTGTAAAAAGTCAGGGGTGAACTCCTACCGGACTCCTGTACAAGCAGCTCTTACTAAGATGGGACCTGTGAGAGTTGTGATTTTGATACAGCTCCAATATTTCTAATGGCCGACTCGCTGTTAAGGCCACACCAAGTAACTTTTATGGATGACGTCCTTTGGATACCCTAAATCTAATGCGAGAGGGCGAAAAAAAAAGAAGGGCCCTAAGAAACAAGATGCCTAGATTAGAAATATACTAAGAAACGACAAATGTTAGGACACAAATTGAATAAGGTGACACAGTGTAACAAGCAATAAGTCTTTTATTCATCATCAAAACAGCAATAAATCAGGTGGAACAGCAGTTGTCGTCCTGTCCTGTTTTCGCGTTACGGGTTTCACGTCAATCTGACGATTTGCGGCACCGTCGTGACTCTTTGGTCATAGTTACAGGAAGCGAAATTTATTTATTTTTGTAGGAACAGGCCAAAATCAATGCGCGCGTGGACGTCATCCATAAAATTTACCTGGTGTGGCCTAATGTTGGCTGGCAAGTCTGGAGTCTACAGATTCAATTTCCTGTCGTGGCAGCACGCCACGTCTGCACTAGACTTTATTACAGCCAACGGAAAAGCACAAACTACCAGCTAGCTAGACACCGGTAGTGTCAACACAATTTGGGAAGATCATCGCACGTCTGCCGTACGCTGGGTGGTACATAAAGTGCTAAAATGTAGGTGAAGTCACTGCTATGCTGTCGCCTGCGCCTCCATTACGTTAACAACTGTACTTGCGTGCTGTGAAGTGAAGTGCTTTCTAATTTTGGCTCTTACACTCAGTCATGTAATGTTACGTGAAGTCGAACAATAATAACACATGATGATATGCTTGGATGAAGTTGATGACTTGCAAATGAATATGGCTCTAATTATATAAGTATGGCTTTTTCACTACTACTGTAGATGGGGACCGGGAATAATGCATGTTATTGTGTTACACCAAAGGATTAGAAAAACCGTGATGGCGTCGTCTAAAGGATAACAAGTTACGACATCGGTCAACAACACTTTCAACAATCTTTCAACCAACCAACTCGGGCCGTCATGCAAACTTTTTCTGCAGAACTGAAGTTACTGAATGATAAAGTGACAATCGACGACGTCAGAACTCAAGTCAACTTAAGTAAGCGACGATTGGAGGAGATTGTGACATACGTTCTGTGGAACCAACTTTCCAAGGAACAAAAAAATTAAAGAAACCTTACAACTCTAACTGCTTTCAAAAGTTCATTGTGAATGGAACTACCGACCTATGGACTGAGTGGCATATGTTAACGATTGTAATTGTACGATTTCAATGTATATTGTTATTATTGTGTGTACTTTTCCCATCTATATTATGTATTTTATCCCAGAGATACCTGACAAACAGGTCAAGAGACCTGAGCGTAATTCACTGGTAAAATAAATAAATGACATGAAACGTCTGTGTGGTTTCGAGTTATGGATTAGTCCTTGACGTCTAGCGTCGATTGGCTAGTCTAGCGGTCACGAGATTGCCGCGGGTTCGATACCTTGCATGTCGTGTCCTTGGGAAAGTCCCATTACATATCACTTTCCTCACTCCGCCCTGATGTAAAATGGGTGGCAGAAGCTTGTCTGCGGAGGTTGATGGTGGTGAAAGGAGAGGGATGGACTCCACCTTCCTGTACCGTGCCCTAGCTGATTAACAACCCGCTATTCATACCGTATTAACGTCTATACACCTTTACCTTTTTACATTGAAGTCTTTCTGCTCGCAAGATATAGGTTTACGGTTGAGAAAATAAATGACTACGCTACACAGCTAGACAAGACGCATTAGGCTAGCCTCTACCAGGCTTGGGGAGGTGGCTGGAAAGAGTAGAAATCGGCCATATAGAGAGATAAGCATGCCAAGGGAGTTTGTCCGTTGAGAGAACATTTTGCCGCAAATGTTCTCTCAACGGACAAACTCCCTTGACATGCTTATCTCTCTATATGGCCGATTTCTACTCTTTACAGCCACCTCCCCAAGCCTGGTAGAGGCTAGCATTAGGCAAAGAAGCAGTTTGGAAGTTACTGAATAAAGTAAGCCTCTGAAGCCTGTTAGAGGCTACAGTAAATGCACCTACCTGTTTCCGTGAGTTGATCCGGCGTGCCTGCATGTGCTTGACGTGGGTCTGCCCCTTGTTGGCGATCTCGATGTTGCCCGCCTCGGCGATGTCCTCGGAGTAGAGCACCCGGCCGATCCGCACGTACAGGACGGCGGCCACGATGAGCGGCAGCAGGTAGAACAGAGACAGGTCCAGAAAGTACACCGTCAGGTACCTGTTTATTACGTCCAACAGAGGAAGATGTAGGCAAGAAACAGTTAATAAAGCAACTTAAGCAAAAAAAAAAAAACAGTTACCCAAGCAACTAAGATAATACAAAGCTCAGGTTTTAGACAAGATTTAGACAATGTAATTTTTTGGCCTGCCTTGTTTCTTTTGCCTTATCATCGTATTAGATTTGGAGTCTGCGGAGGATGCCATTTATAAAATTTACTTGCTGTGTCTTTACAAAAAATAAACAAATACGCCAAGCCTACCTGCTGCGCTCCAGGTTGTACCCACACTGCAGCACCTCCGCCCCGTTGCCGTACACTATGGTCTCCGTGCCCATCAGGAAGAACCACATGGAGTCGTAGGCCAGCGTCAGCACCCAGACTCCGGCGATGATCTTCTTGGCTCTGGAGACCGTGCACATGGTCTGGGCGTACAGCGGGTGGCAGATGGCGATGTACCGCTCCACGGTGAACGCCAGGATGCTCATGGACGAGGTGTTGATGCCGAGATACTGCAGGTAGGTGATTTCTTTAATCGTTTATTTCAAATTCTACATACAGATATACATACAAATATATGGTGTGTTATGGCTTACCCCTCGTTACATCAATTGTTCTAAGTGTTGGCGCACATTTTGTAATCTAAAAGGTTCTTTTCGTACAATATATTTAAAGATGTAATATTTAGCTACTAGTAACAACATGGCTTTGTTTAGAAGAATATCTGACGTGTGTCCATAAAGGATATCTTTTTCCTCTAAAGATATTGGTGACTGAGTTTTGGCATTCCACCAGCTAATGAACTCTTTCCAAAAAGGTTGAACAAATTTACAAGTTACAAATACATGTGGTATTGCTTGTTTTTCTGAACAAAAAGGACAAAGATCAGACTCTTACCTGCAGATAGGTGATGATCAGGCATCCCGAGTGGCCGTACATCCACGCGGACTCGTAGTAGAAGCTGTCCGGAATATTCGGGATCCCCGCCGTCACCAGCACGATGAGGTCGGCCACGGCAAGGCTGACTAGGTAACAGTTGGTGGGGCTCCGCATGGACTTGATGCGGGTGACCACCAGGACCACCATGATGTTGCCCACGATGCCGATACTGCAGATGACTAGAACCAGCACCGTGGTGATGACCTGGTAGCTCATGGGGAAGGTGGGAGGGTCTGGGAACGAGGTGTTGGTCGGCGGGACATCGGTGGTATTACCGTTCATGTCCGGCATCATGGTCTGTGTGAGTGTCAGGTTATCATTGGTTGTACGGGCGTACAGACTGTCCGTGATGTATTCGACCAGCTCCGTCGTGTTGACGGTGGTTTCCATTTTCGTCACTTTCTCAGCGTTAATGTACTACAGCAAGAAGCAACCTTGTCCAAACAGTATTTCGAAGAGAATTGAGGGGAGGGGCGGCCAATGCCAATGCCGTCAGGTGATCTTGAGTGTTACTTCACAGTCTAACCTTTGAAATCTGCAGGGAAATCTTGCTCACGACATTCGACTTGCAGCAGCCTCTTTACGGCGAAGCATCAAGAGGCAGTCATCCAAGAGGACTCAGTCCAGTTTCAGAAAGTGCCCGATCTTTCTCTTGATATCTGGGACCCCAGCTGGAAAGATAAAAGAAGTACTTGCATTATAAAAGGAAAAGCAAGAACTAAAATAAGAAATGATAAAATGCACCAGAGATTTTTCGATCCACAAGTTCACCTACATTAGATAGTCTGCAGTATTCATATCTGTATTGCCGGAAGAACCGCCCTTCGGCGTAACACACCAGCTTCCATGGCACGCGGCAAAGTTGCAGCTGGCTACTAGTATATTACACTAAATAACCTGTCACCCCTTACTTTTGCACAGCTAACTACGAGCGTTAACGTAAAGCTAGTGAAGATGCCCCTACTGTAATCTCTAGCATGAAATGAAATGAAATTCACGGGCGAACCGACTCGAGATTGTTGAGGCGGTGAATCAAAAACTCTTGCAGTGCGTTAGACCTGCTCTATTACGCTATGCTAATAGATTCTCCCTGTACTACGGAACAGCACACTTCGGGCTATTTTCAGACAGAATCTTCTTAGAGCCTATTAGATTCCTGATAACGCTCCAACGGCTACCTTAGCCCAGACCATTCCCGGTCACCGCCAAAATTCAGCCTAGTTCCGTAAGCCGCGCATTTCCCAAGTCTGTCTGCTAAAGCACTTTATCTACAACTGACCGAATGGGGGATTGAGTGGGCGATCCTTTCCCCACAACGCTCTCAGTTGGGATCGTGGTAGAGAAAAATCTCATTACAGTGTCTTTCAGCAAGGACGTTATGTCACATCCTTGCTCCTACAGTCTGGAGTTGGTGACTCACTTCAGATCTCCGGTATAGCTCCCTGGTAATTCATGGTAATTCACCCAGACGGAGGACCTGGCACAGTTCGTATTGTATCAACGAAAGGGTACTACAAAATGGAGTATGTCTGTATCTGTATCTGTATAGCCGGTATAACCGCCCTTCGGCGTAACGCACCAGCTTCTGTATCTGTATAGCCGGTGTAACCGCCCTTCGGCGTAACACACCAGCTTCTGTATCTGTATAGCCGGTATAACCGCCCTTCGGCGTAACACACCAGCTTCTGTATCTGTATAGCCGGTATAACCGCCCTTCGGCGTAACACACAAGCTTCTGTATCTGTATAGCCGGTATAACCGCCCTTCGGCGTAACACACCAGCTTCTGTATCTGTATAGCCGGTATAATCGCCCTTCGACGTAACACACCAGCTTCTGTATCTGTATAGCCGGTATAACCGCCCTTCGGCGTAACACACCAGCATCTGTATCTGTATAGCCGGTATAACCGCCCTTCGGCGTAACACACCAGCTTCTGTATCTGTATAGCCGGTATAACCGCCCTTCGGCGTAACACACCAGCTTACCGAAAGGTCATCCCGTAATGCTTAGGTCACATTTCCAAACCGGGGCCCGGCCGGGCTGTTTGTACGAACGAAAAATTGACTATTCATATCAAAAATATACAGAAACAGAGCTCATGATTGTTATTAAGAACTTTTCTGTGTTTTGTTGTCTTTTGTATCGTACTTTTCGTTCCCAAAAGCTGCCCGGCCGGGCCCCGTGTGGGAATTGTGACCTCAGCATAAGAGACGGCGACCCCGACCAATACGGTCGACCGACGATGCTCTTCACCCTTCGCAAGCGATGGACGTTGGAGAATGTTAAAAATGATTATATGAATACGACATGAAAGCCCATACACGACTTGTTAAAGATCCGTGAAAGTGCTTCTACACTAGGCCACCATGTCACCTACTTAACTGTCCGACATCTTGCGTGATCAGAAGCGGTAATGAGTCCAAACCCGCCCTGTTAGGTAACCGTTGACCCTTTATATAAAGTGGCTGGAATCAAAAGTAAATGAAATCACCATGTCGGGACTGTAAAGCTTTCAAGCTGTAGCGCTCAAAGTACTCAGCGAAATGACCTGATAGCCCGAAACCTGTCAACTCCAATGCATCCGGCCTTTTTCGGTAAAAGCTATCCTATTAAGTATTATCATGTTGGTTAAACATACTTTCCCAACTCGGTCATAACTTTTCTTTACAAGAACTATTATGATGTCAACCAAGAACTTTCGCATGACGCTCAAGAGTCCAGAACAATTTTTTTTTTATTTCCAACATGTAATCACCAGACGTGGTGACGGCACACTCAAGTTTTTTCAACTTATATTAATGCCGCCACCAACACAGGGGACAAATACATGACAGGAAAATACTTATTTTCACCTGAGCGAAGTGAGGAAAGTCGTGTAAAGTGTCTTTCCCAAGGGCACAAGATCGGTGGCATGTCAGATCAGGACTCGAACCCGGGACCTCTAGGTTCCGAGTCGCCCACTCTGCCGCTACGACACGACGCCACAGAACTATTTCTACGACGACAAAGTTATGGTGGGTGGTTAGTTGATGGTTCGAACAACCAAATACATGAAGACGTGACATTCTCAAGGTGACTTTGGTTAAATTTTGCATTCTCAAGGTTAAATTTTTCCTGGAAATATTCTCAAGGGGCTAGGTGACTTTGTTTAAATTTTACCGGGAAACATTCTCAAGGTGACTTTGGTTAAAGTTTACCTGGAAATATTCTCAAGGTGACTTTGGTTAAATTTTACCTGGAAAGATCGAATTTTTCAAGGTGACTTTGATTAAATTTTACCTGGAAATATTCTCAAGGTGACTTTGGTTAAATTTTACCTGGAAAGATCGAATTTTTCAAGGTGACTTTGATTAAATTTTACCTGGAAATATTCTCAAGGTGACTTTGGTTAAATTTTACCGGGAAATATTCTCAAGGTGACTTTGGTTAAAGTTTACCTGGAAATATTCTCAAGGTGACTTTGGTTAAATTTTACCTGGAAATATTCTCAAGGTGACTTTGGTTAAATTTTACCTGGAAATATTCTCAAGGTGACTTTGGTTAAATTTTTCCGGGAAATATTCTCAAGGTGACTTTGGTTAAATTTTACCGGGAAACATTCTCAAGGTGACTTTGGTTAAAACTTGCCGGAAAACGTGACACGTGGGCTGCGGTTATTCCACTTCTATAAGAATGGACGGTACGGGGGTAATCCTTTTAATCGGGTGCACATCATGAGTTACGGGTAGGATTTGGTGCTAATCGTGTAAGAAGGAATTATAATTCCTGCGGTTACGCAACCATGTAAACGTTGTCTGCCTCAATAACATCTTTGTAATACATCAATACATGTATGCGTGCCTACGTGGGTTTTCAGGTCAAAATCTCAAATACCAAGCTGCCAGGACAAATTATTGAAAGCCTTAAGCCTTCCAACGTGAACCAAAAGCCCTCAATTCAGAAAGAATTATTGTCTTCAATAACAGCTTTGTTAATGTCGTTCATAAGTGTCTCAAATTGAGCTTTTCCGTCTTGTTGTTCTTTGATCTCGCGTTGGTGGAGTCCCGGGGCTTTTCCGGCATTTGCTTATTACCCAATATGCAATACATGTATACGTGCCTGCAAGTCAAAATCTCAAATATCAAGTTGCCAGTACCGATTATTCAAAGTCTTAAGCCTTCCAACGTGCACCGAGACGTGCAGAAAGTTGCCCTTAATTTAGAACGAATTATTGTCTTCAACAACACCTTGTAAAAATCGTGTCTTAGTGTCTCAAATTGAGCTTTCCGTCTTGTCATTCTTTGATCTCGCGTTGGCGGAGTTTCCCGGGCTTTCCGGCATTTCCGTACCACATCAATACATGTATGACCGCGTGTGTCGGTCTCTAAAGTAAAACTCTCAAATACTGAGCTGCCAAGACCGATTATTCAAAGCCTAAAGCTACAAACGTGTACCAGGACGTACAGAAAGTTGCCCTTAATTCGGGACGAAGCAGGGATGAACCTTAATTCATGATTTATCATGTGTGTAGGAATGCTAATTCCTGTATACATATACTGTATTCTGTATCTATTATGTATACATATAAACGTTGTCAGCCTCAGTGACATCTTTGCAAATACAAGTGTCTCAGATTGAGTCTTCCTTCTTGCCGTTCTTTGATCTCGCGTTGGCGGAGTCCCCGGGCTTTTCCGGCATTTCCGTACCACATCAATACATGTATGACCGCGTGTGCGGGTTTCTATAAGTAAAACTCTCAAATACTGAGCTGCCAAGACCGATTATTCAAAGCCTAAAGCTACAAACATGTAACAAGATGTACAGAAAGTTGCCCTGAATTCAGGACGAAGCAGGGATGAGCCTTAATCCAGGATTTATCGTTTGTGTAGGAATGCTAATTCCCGTATGATATACTGTATCCTGTATACTGTATCGATTATGAATACATATAAAACGTTGTCATCCTCAGTGACATCTTTGTTAATGTCGTTCACAAGTGTCTCAAGTTGAGCTTTCCACCTTGTCATTCTTTGATCTGGCGTTGGCTGAGTACCCCGGGCTTTTCCGGCATTTCCGTACTGCATCAATACATGTAAGACCGCGTGTGGGGGTTTCTATAAGTAAAACCCGCAAATACTGAGCTGCCACAACAGGTTATTCAACGCATGAAGTTACAAACTAGTCCCAACATGTACGAAAAGTTGCCCTTAATTCGAGACGAAGCAGGGATGAGCCTTAATTCATGATTTCTCATGTGTGTAGGAATGCTAATTCCTGTATACATATACTGTATCCTGTATCTATTATGCATTGATATAAACGTTGTCAGCCTCAATAGCATATTTGTAAATATCGTTCAAAAGTGTCTCAAATTGAGCTTTCCATATTGACACTCTTGTTGGTGGAGTCCCCCGGCTTTTCCGGCATTTGCTTATTACCCAATACATGTATACGTGCTCGCGGGGGTTTCTAAAGTCAAACTCTCAAATATCAAGTTGCCAAGACCGATTATTCAAAGCCTGAAGCTACAAACGTGTAACAAGATGTACAGAAAGTTGCCCTTAATTCGGTACGAAGCAGGGACGAGCTTTACTCCGGGATTTATCGTTTGTGTAGGAATGCTAATTCCCGTATGATATACTGTATCCTGTATACTGTATCGATTATGAATACATATAAAACGTTGTCAG